TACATTTATTTGTTTATTGTATTTTTTGGGGGAAATTAATTGTACGCTTATTCATTTTTGGAGCATTTATTTATTTCTAATTATGGCAGGATTGGTCCTGCAACCCAGCAGAAGGCTGTTAAAAAATACCTATTTGACTTGAAGCCATAATCTAGCGCTGCCTTTTGGCTGGACAGAACAAAGATCGGACTGAAACAAATGAGTAATAAAATGTAATAAAACTTGTGGCAAATTAATTAAACATAGGACTTGGTCTTTTATCTATTTTACAGTTTTTATATATATATATATATATATATATATATATATATATATATATATATATATATATATAGATAGATAAATACAATTCCCTCTTTAAAGTACAAAAAAAATAAACAGTTAACACTTAAAAAAAAAAAAGCAACATTTTCTTTTGTTCTTTTTAAGTTTGCGTGTGTAATATACAAAAAATACATAGATATTTGGGGTTTTTTTCCCCCTGGAGACGTTCCAACTCTGCTCCCATGCTTCTTACAAACTGCCAAAAAGTTTAAGGTACAAAAAATGTACTATATTATCAAATCAAAATAAGAGACTAAGTGATCAACACATGAGATATCCTACAAAATATGTTGTTTTATATTAAACAGCATTTTTGCTTTAAGAATTAAATCCCTAGTTTAATTTCTAAGGAATGGCACTTAATAGTAACAGCCCTACTCATTACACCTGCATGCAATCAATTTAATAATTTCACTTTATCTTGCAGGAAATTAGTTTCTATAAATAGGATTCATATCCAATTATGAGGGGGGACCACAAAGGTGCTGACTGCACCAGAGGAAAGAATTAAAGCTACAGTCAGTCAGCACAAACCACTGAGGCATCAAATGAGCCCTCAGTTCCCCTAGCCCCCTGCAATTAATATGCATTAAACTTTAAAAGGAGCTATGGCACAATGTAAACACAAACGACAAATGAAAAAGCAAAGATTTGTCTGCTTGAAACGGTGGTATAACATTCTTGTTTCCTTGATCTCAAAGACTGCAGCATAGGATTGTCAGGTATTGATACACCAAGTGTGTTGTGGAAGGAAGGAAGCCAATATAATGATCACTCTTACAGCTTTGAAAAATAGTAGCCTTTATTTTCTGATGGTTTTATATTTACAGAAAGCATGGTCTTGCTGTCTTAGTACAATGGGATGAAGAACTCGCTGAAAAATACATAAAAGTTCTTTCAGGTAAAGCAAGCAAACCAAATCAATGTGACATTTGGACCTGGAGATTAAGATCTGTATTTGATTGATGAATATGTGTTTAAAAAAAAAAACTATGACCTGAGCGCTGCCCTACAGGATGCAGTGAGAAAGAACCACTTATGTGCCCTGTTTGAATATTACATTAAATGAACATTTTGATGCTTGTGATCCACCTACTACAAATATAATAAAATAAAAATCCCTAAAACAATCAACCCAGGATAAATCACAGACATCCAATTGGGATTCAACACAGAATAAAATAGCGCATCAGGAAAAGTAAAATCTAGATGAACTAAGCAAAGCGAAATTAAAAGAAAGAGATATACGACGACGTTCGGATGACATGGCCAGAGCAACTGTGCGGTAATGTGCAGCATAGAAATATGATTTGACTGGAAAAATGCTTCCCTCCTACTGCAAGTAAATTCTTCGCTTCAGTGATCTGAAGGATGCTGTAAACGATTTCAAAAGTGCTCATACCCTTGGAACTTTTTCTTTTTGTCCTTTCTATCATTTTATAACCTCAACCTTTAACATATTTTATCAAAATTTCACGTGATAGACCAACAGAAAGCAGTGCGAAATTCACAGATTATGATCCAGCCAAGAGGTGGAGGGAGGTTCTGTGGTCAGTAGACCTTTTTCAGTATGTAAAATGCTATGCAATAAAAACATTTTCCACCACTGGGAAAAAAAAAAACCCACAATGCATCTTTATGTGTAAGAATAGCCTAGTCAAAGTCCAATTAAAGAAGTGTGGCATGACAGGAAAAACTAAGGTTCACAGATACACAAAATTTCAATAAAAAACACATTAAATGTAGTTTTGAAATGTAACAAGATAAAAAAAAAAAAAAGTTATAGAGGTATGAACACATTATCAAGGCTCCAGATTTCAGAACCTGTGCCTATCATAGGGGCAGGATGGTATGGACTCAATTATCAGCCAATTGTGATATCAAAACTTAGACTGCATGGCTCTCTGTCTGCTTAGATACACAAACTGTAACTGCAGTCACTGTGGCCAAAAAGGAGGAACCAAAAAAAAAAAAAAAAAAATCAGATATTTGATGCTTTTGGATACTGACACACGAGACTCTCCATAAATAACAAAAACAACCCTAAATTCTGACAAATAACATTCTCTTTTACACTGATATACAAACAACATAAGAGGATCATAAATACAGAGCAAACAGGTGCCCAATAACATTCAACACACAATAAATGTAATATGGTTTATTAAACGCAAATAGGATTAAATTACGCCGTCAGCCGATGTTTCTCGCGGGAAAACATCAGATCTGAATAAATTACTAAGCCAACCCTGTCTTCAACATGCTGCTGTGATACTGGAGCTTGGTGACTGCTAAAACATTCATTTTTGGAGCTGTAGAGCTATTAGAAATGGATGAGGAGAAAAACAAACACAGTGGATGAATATGTGATACTCTCATAGGCAACATTTTCTAAAAAAAAGAACAAGTCAACAAAGCTAAGAACAAGTATAAAGCCTCTTTTTTTTCCCAGATATCTGAATTATTTGTATACTTTCCCCTCATATTCTGTACACACCTGGTATAAATTACATACATTGTCAATTTAGGCCATTTTAGGATGAACTCTGGTAATGAAATTCATACTGTCGAAGAGATCCGTTAAAGTGTCTATGAGTACGCAACTATCTCTAAAATACTTATGTACAAATACTGTTTGCTGTAATATCTACACAGAAATAACATTTCAACTAATCATTTGGGGTAAAAGAAAAACTACCTTTAAAAATGTGTCCCCTCCACTGTGCTATCTCCTAAGTATTAAAACCTTATAAATGTGAATCTTCAGATAAGTGTCCAGCAAATGTTTTCAGATACTGGCACGTATGTTTTTTTTTGTTTTGTTTTTTTGTTTTTCCCAGCATGATGAATAAAAATTGAAAACTACAAATTAAATGCTGTAAGCAAAAAAAAAAAGCATGAGTTAAAGTTGGCCTTGAGATTTTTTTGTTGCCGTTATCACAACGTCCCAAGGTACGAATGACGGCAGGCACTTGAATGTCGTGGTTGTGGCATGTGAGCAGGAAACAAATGGATAGTCACATGAGATTGATAGTTTTAAAAGAGTGTTCCTTTGAAATAATAATAAAAACAAAATAAAGAGGAAGATAAATGCTCCTCGGCACTCAGGATTCCATCTCATCATCTAAAGGAGGCGGCTCGAAGCTGAGGACCTCATCATAGGTTAGGCCTAAGGGGTGGGAACAAAACACCATAATGAGCATCTATGTAAGAGATTCTAACACAGAACAAAGTCACTCATCCAAACTTACTCTTCCACTCCTCTATTTCCAAATCGCGACTTTCAAAGCTCTGGTCGTAAGGCTCCGCCTCGGGCTCGTCGTCCGGGTCGTGGTACTGAGAGAAGTATGGGTGGGCCAGAGCCTCCGACGCTGTGATCCGCTTATCCGTGTCCAGCACCAGCATCTTCTCCAGCAAGTCCACAGCTGAAGCACAGCAGATAACAGTAAGGAACACTAATGTAGTTGTAACATTTGGAACCATATATTCACATACGGGACAATTTGTGTTGAACTATATTTTCCCTATTTACAGATATAAAAGGTAAGCCTTATTTATATAGCACCTTTCACACACCAAAGCCACTAAGTGCTTCGCAACAGTTTAAAAGGAGGTTGTAGCAGCCCAACATGTAGTTAATTAAAGGTATAGAGGATGATCTTTTATTTCTGGGTGGATCATCTAAATAAGTGGTCCTCCTCATTGTCAATCATTCTGGTGATGTGCTTACGTAAGGCAATCCTATATGCTCGTCCCGTTAGCTATCTTTTTCTGGGTTTGCACACTTTCAGGCGTATATCTGTGGTGAGCTACGGTTTCAGACAGTCATTGAAGCTCACCTTTCTGACTGCGGTTCTTTGAAAATGGCCGAGGGTCGTAAGAGAAAAAGTGTCTATGAAGTGTATGTGAAAAAAGAAAGGCCCCAGAAGAGGCAGATGTATCCCAGAATGCTTTGTGGGAGAGCTCTCCTCGCAAAGCATTATGGGATTTGCTGTCACAGCGGTATCCGATAGTGGCGACTAATAACAAAGATGACGCAGGCACCGTGCAGTGGAGGAGGAGTTAAGTGACAAATGGAGCAAAAAGCAGTGATTTTCTGTCTGAACAGTAAGTTATAGTTGTCCACTATATAGTCCCCACTCTATATAGTGATTGAGGGACTTAGGGGTTAGGGAGGACGTTCGGACACAATAAGCCTGTATGAGCTACAAGAACAGCAACTATTAAATAGACGAGGAGAAATGGGATCTTGCATGCTCTTGCATGTGCATTTTCAAAATGGAGAGGACGGGTCTTTAAACATTTTTGTGAAAATCCTTTCACAATACCTTTAAAAGCCTGTACAGACAAATGGATCTTAAGTAAGCTCTTGAAGGTGACAACAGAGTCAATAAAACACAATGCGGGCAGAAGATCATTCCCAAGTCTGGGACTTCTGTGAAAGTACAATGGGATTTCAATTCAGATTTATTATTTCTGTGCCTTCAGAAGGACCAGGAGCTCTAGATTAACCAACATACAGTTAAAACCAGATAATAAATTAAAAAAACAAACATATTTTCCTAACAGTCATCTTAACAGCATAATGTCCTGTAGTTTTTGGTCTTTTGTAATTACCTCAATTATTCTAAAACAACAAGTATAATCTTAGACAATAATGAATTATTCATATTCAGACATTTTTTACACTAAGGTCACCAAGCATTTAACCAATTTATCAAAACCCTGATGATGATGATGTCACCTTTAGAGGATACTGATTGGTTTATTGACAACATCTGAATGTTGACAGACAAACCAGTGGAGGTTTTAAAAGCTCTGTCCCTCTGTGTAACATAGATAAAAGGAAATTAGCCAAAATATTGAAAAGAGAATTGAAATCTTACAAAAGTCTTGTTCATCCATTAGTGCAATTTGTAAATGCTTAAAGGTGCTATGTTGAACCCTTTCTATATTTATACGCAAGGATTAACAGTTTTGTGTCCCAGAGATGCCAAATATGAACAAAAATTCATGTAATCTCCAGAAAATAATAAATAAAAATAATTTTGGTAAGCCTAACAGACCTAAGGCAGGAAATGTTCAAATTGCATGACTGAAAGTGGGAAAAAAATGTAACTTTCTTATGCAGCTGTTCGATCTCATGTACTAAAGTGCTACTGCCAGCTGGATTACATTTAAAAGATTGATCTCTTTCCCCATTAATGATACGAAAAAGAAAGTCTGGTTTCACTGAGAGAAAAAAATACGTTAAAATCTGGGGATATTATGCCATATAGTTTGTGGCTATGCACCAGGCTCAGACTTGTAATCTGTGATACCGGGCATTTGCCCGGTGGGCTGGTCCCATTTTCAGCACTTGAGGGCTAGCCCTCCTTAAATCATACAACCCCAAAACTTACTCTCCGGCCGAAGCTCCTACCTGCGACAGTAAATAACTCAAGAAGCTCAAGAAGCAATAAAATGACAACTACCTAAATGATGCATGCAGCATATATAGCCCTTCCTTGTCATGCACATCCATGTGACGGTTGGCATATGGTGTAATTTTCTATTTCTTCAAACTGTAAAATCCTTGCAACAAAATAAATTATAATAAAACAAAAAAGCTTTCTTTAAACCAAACTACGATGTTCCTCTTATATTTGGCAAATTTATGTTTAAATATTTTGCAAAAATATGTTGCGGTGCATGATGGGGGTTGCATCTAAAGGCCAACGTTTCCCGTCTTACGTGCATTGTTGCCAGGTTGGGATGTTTCCCAATCTGGCAGTTTAGGATAGGTAAAAAAAAAATTTTCTTTAGATTTATGGCCTAAGAGATCAAAAGAGGCCGAAAATTGTTCCCAGTCTGAGCCTGCAATACACGGTATATAGTATGTTTTATATCATATATAGCTATAGATTCTGTTTTCTGTGCAAGTGTCCAATTTGTCTGCACCATCAACATCAAGTCAAATTCCTTGTGTTTCTTTTAACACTACAGCTTTAGTTCAACTGTATCATTTTCATTTTTATTAGCAGTTTCATAAATGCTTACCAATACAGTGCAAAAGCAAAGAGAGTAAGGAAGGAAAAACCATACTGCAATTTTTAGGATAGTCAGGATGCCACTAGAGGGCTGCAGTGAGCCAGAAGCTGTATAAACAGATCAAAGCTTAAAGAGGAACTTACCAAGAGGGTTGGCACCAATGAACACATCAGCAAAGTTCCTCTTGGGCATGTGAGGAAGAGAGTTAATGTAGTTCCTTGCCTGTTGGAAAAAAAAAGAGATAAACAGCTTTAATTGTCACAGTTTCAGATTCCTAGAAATGTTCACAAAGCAACAGTAGCTCCAAGCTCTTAGCAATCAACCTAAACTCCAAACGCCTTTCGTTAGTACAAAACTAATCCTACTGAAAACTGATCACTGGTGCAACAGTAGCTGCACAGGCAGGCACTGTGAGCCAGAAAGGAAACAGGGAAGAAGTGAAGCGACAGTACAGGGTGGTGTTGCCCGTCAGTGTGGAAGGGAACAGCAAAGTTGTGGCTGCTGCTCGTCCCCAACTCCGACTGATAAAAGGGGGGGGAGGGGGTCTCACCTCATGGCTGGGCATCCTGCTTATGAGGGAAGCTGGGGGAGTCCCCGTCAGACGCATTATCTGCTGCAGCTGGTTTATATCTTAAGCTTCTGAGTCAAGGGGAATCATAGCACATCAACAAGGATGGGGGGGTGTCATTAAATGAAGAGAGGCAGGATGAGAGATTTGAAGGCAGGGGCAGAAGACAAGAAGCCGAGCTGATGTATACAATATAATCATTGGACTTTTACAGATTAAAAAGTTTAAATCCTCTAACGCGCAGCAGGGCTAAAAAAAATACTTGACAAACATGGAAAGCAAAGAGAAAATGAGCCGCAGCACAGTTCAACGCACAGCCGGAGAAAAGATGGTTTAGTAAACACAAGAAAAGTAGGCTAACTACAACCAGAGACGACACACAGACAGGCAACAGAAAGAAAAATAAATAACTGGGAGGGATGGTACTTAGCACTCACAGAATCTGAAGAGATTTTCATCAAGAGCTCGGGCCCTGGGGTTCCGACGAGCATCATTATAAGCTTCAACTGATCAATGTCTAACACGCTCACATGAAGGAAAAATAAAAAAACAAAGGAATGGATGGACAGCACTGGCAACAGAAAAAATGAGTGAAAACATGCAAAAAAATGGAGGAATAAACAGACTAAATGTAAATCTACACAAAGAGCTGGACTGGATGGAGCTTTTTTCGGAACCTGAAGAAAAACCTTTTTTTTTTACTGCCTGTCTGGTTTGTTGGTGTTTTTAGAGACAAAAGGTGCAGCTTTTTCCACTTCCAAAAACAAATATTGATATTAAAAGAGCAATTCCTGCTGCTGTTTCCTTATAAGTCAGGAATTAAATTCATTCCAACATGCAGATAATGTTGCGCTTCACATTTAACAAACTCTGCAATAGATAATGTTATATTTGACTCACAAATTGGCTTTTAAGTCTTGCACCTCTAATAAAAACAACTATGATAAACGGGCCTCTGCTGAACTAGTGAATATTGAGGAAGTTGTTCAGCTGATTGATTCAGAAGCAAAAGAGTCTTATCAAAGTAGGAGGATTTAAACATTACCCTAATTTTCTGTCTAATTTTTCCTTTAAAATGTAAAAATTTCCATTTACAAGCCAGATGGAAGCGTGCATTAAAATGTTTAATCATAATGTGGGTCAGGAGTTAGTTTAGGCAAGTATGATAGTGTACAAAATCCCATGCAGCATTTTTTAACTCCAAGATTCTCAACACATTTAAAACTGAATTCAAATAATTGTTAGTAAAGGTGCACAGAACAATGAGCTGGTGACCAGGATGGAGGCTCAGAAATCCAATAGTTTCCCCTGAAGTGAATGCACCGTACCCAGGAACTATCAGGTTGCAGTAACAACAATATTTGGTCACCAAAGGTAGAAGACTTAAAGTTGGCAAGTTTGGCATCAGTGAGATGTTAGAAGTTAACCAGAGGCGCCACAGAGACGTAAAAAAAATAAATAAATAAATAAAAAGCACTATCCTACATCTTTTCGGCTACATTTTTTATTTATTTAAATCAAACGTGTCTTTGATATAAACAGTAAAATCATCACTTGTGCTTCAAATAGAAAAATGTTCCTAAGCTGGCTCTTATTAGCTTATTGTAAATATAGATTTTTGGGTGGAAACTGAAACAACCTCGGAGCAGAATTAGCTGCTTATTCATTTCAGAGAAACTGTGGAAGACTCTGAATGAGCCATACAACCCTAATAGGGGCATCCCCATGCCTAATAAACCAGACTAAATGGGGTTAAAATGGGAGATTAAATGTGTAATTTAGTCTGGCCCCGATGAATGAGAAATCGGGAGATTGTTGATGACAACAACCCGTTGTTTTTCAAACCATGTCTGTGCCTATTGGCCAACGCTCTAAACAATGAGCACAACAGACTGTGACGTAGTAAGCGCGACAGAAAGCTGGTGGGCGGTAAAACGGGGAATATTCCTTCCTAAAAATGAATGAGTGTAGAGCCTTTTCCTGCTCACATTTCAACGAAACCCCAAGTCTAATTCTTCCAAAACTTTTTCCAAAGCTGAGTCAAATGAGAACTGTTCAATAGTTTCAATAGTTGTTGCCATCTTCCTTGTTGTTCTTTCTCCAGCGTCGCACAGCTTGGTTGTCACACCCTCAAAACCCCACCCCCCGCTTTGCATCCAGAAATTCAAAACACATCTCTGCATTGTGATTGGCCCGCCAGTTCTAGGGCCTGGGGTATTGATCGAGGCTAGACCACTCGCAGGCAAAAGTGATTTTGCCCGATGGCAGGTGGGGCTAGTTTACTAGGCTAGGCATCACCAGTATCTGCAAGAATTGAACTTTATTGATCTCACAATGGAAAAATGCATCTCTGCATTTAACATATCCCCTTGGGGAGCAGTGGGCTGCTATTGTGTGGCACTCGGGGAGCAGTGTGGGGTTAAGGGTCTTGCTCAGGAACCCAGTGTGGAGGCAGTGAGGATTGAACCGGGTACTTGCAACCTTCTCAGAGCACAAGCGCACTGCTCTAAACACTAGGCCATCACTCCAAAGAAAGACCTCAATCTGAAACGCTCCCTCACAGATCACAGGCTCATGTGAACATTAAAGATTATGCATCTTTTATTTCCCTACGACCATTATTCCACATTAGGTATAACACTTACACCCTTTAAACTGCCAACTATGTAAAGCATCCTAGTCCTCTTACTTCTCTTCCTTACAATTAGATTAGATAAACGCTGATGCCGCAGTCAAACATTCCATTCAGACAGGTTATGAGGAGGCAGACCAGAGAGAACCATCTTCACAAGAGCGATTCAGATGTGGTAAGAAAGCCCAACTCAAACACCCACACACAGGACATGCAGAGAAAGCGTGGATGAGTCGGTTACTTAGAGCAGGATCACAAACACATTATGCAATCGGCCCCATACTTTTTTTTTCCTCTTCACAGGACCATGGCCCCAGGAGCAGGTGCTTAGTTCTGCATTTCATTGTGGTTGCATTTAAAAAAATAAAAACAAGATCATCATGCATGTTTTAAACAAAAATCATCCCAACGCTCAGAGGCGGTTTTCTGTGTAGAAGAGAAGCAGAAAAAAATGCGCCGTCATGAAGGGGTAGAAAATCAAAAGGTGAGCCATGCAGCAAAAGGTGAAAAACATCTCCTTGTATGTATGCAATACATACACACATTGGCATGCAACCTACAAATACTTCATACGTTTGGCTCAACCTGAACAGGGAAGCATTCTTACCGTGTTTGAACAGCTTTAAAAAGAACTCAGATTGGTCTGAGACTATTTTAAAAAAAAAAAAGTCCTCTGAATGGATTTCCCTGAAACATTTATGAACAAAGAGTACTTTGACAACATAAATGAAAGGATACGGTCTGTGCCTGGAAAAAGCGTCCGTCCGGTAAGCAGCTCCGCCATGATGCATCCAACCGACCAGATGTCCACTATTTAAAATGAAAAGGCTTGTTAGCACCAGCATGTTCAAATTGATGTCCTTAGATGAAGAAAAATATTTTTTTCCAAACAGAAATGCAAGAAATAAATGAGAAAAGATTTTAAATGAGAAAAGATCTTAAGGGACGTTTAAAAGTAGCTTTTCTGCTCCCCTTGTCAAATTATTCAAGTGCCTAAAAACATTTTAATATATTATGAGTTTTCGAAGCTCAGATGTACCAACAGAATTGTTAAATACTGCAGATAGACACGGTAAAAAAAAAAAAAAACTGAATACAGGGTTTATACAGGAATGAGAAACTCTAATTTAATGCTTTTTAATGCTCTTTTACTGCTCCTAGAAATCATTTTAATGCCATCAACAAGTACCCATGACTGTCCATATATATATATATATATCATAATTTGGATTTTCCCATTCTAAAGCTTTTTCTCCGCTTCAACCTTCTTTTCTGAACATAAGGCTTACAATCAACATGTTATATCTGATATAATAAATCTGACGAAATCGTTTTTATAAACTTAAAAAAAAAAACAAAAAAAAACATTTTAAATGCCAAGATAGTCACATTTAATTAATTTTAATGCCAATTAAGGCCTTAATTTAAAAAAAAAATATTTATTGACATTTAATGATACACGGAAACCCTGGAATAAAAAAAGAAAAGAAAAAAAAAAGGTAACAGGAGGAATAGCTAAGCTATTTATGTTTAATCAAAAATCTGTTCGCTTATTTTGGCTTTCACCAAACATTCTTGAGAGGATTTCAGATGCTCAACAAGTTTGAAATCCTTAATAAGACTTTCCTTTTATAATACAGACATGCTTCGAGCTACCAATGATGAAAATGAAGGAGTTGTAGAAATATTAGTTTCCTCGTTTTTATTTTTTAGCAACAATCAGTCCTAGCTCCAGTTGATGTCGCACAGTAACAGATATTATATACGATATCGTATTGGAGAGGCTCTAAAAGTATGCTAAAGTAAAAAGCAAGTATTGTAGTAAATCAATGCATGCATTTTACAAAAAGACTCATTTAAGTGTTAAAAAAAACAACAAGTTTTTTTATTGTGGGATCATTTTAAGAAGATTCAATTTCTAATAAAGCAAAAAATAAAAAAAAATATCTTTGCACCCTCAGTCATCACCTGTAAACACCATCTGTAAATCGTTGTTTTAAAACTTTATGAATACATTAAAAGTGGTTAGCAAATGCGGAAAAAATATTTAATTACCCGTTTTTTTTAATTATAAATATTTAATATTGAAACTACTTGTAGTATTTAAGCCAAACTAAAAAGAGCAGCATTTTGGAGCACAAAGGTTGCACACAATTGGCCCGCTTACCCGTCATGTTGTAGTGCATCCAGTTGAGCATGATCTCAGGAGCTCGGTACCACCGCGTGGCTACGTATCCCGTCATCTCGTCATCCGTATGCCGCGCCAAACCAAAGTCAAGGATCTGATCAATGAGAAGAAAGGACAGTGAGCCGAGCGCCACTCATGACAGACCCAAAACATTTATCTGCAAAGTTTCCCACCTTGAGCTCACAGTCTTCATTAACAGCTAGGTTACTGGGCTTAAGGTCCTAAAAAATGTTAAAGGTCACAGTCGGTATGTTTAAGGAGTAATACACTTTGGCTGTGTGGAATAAGATACATTTTTTGAGTTTATTTAAGTATTAAGCAGGGAAAACACTTACTCTATGAATTATATCTGCTGAGTGGATGTACTGCAGGAGAAAAGAAGAGCACAGAAAATTCAACTTTTAAAGTCAATCTGGAAATAATTCATCCTTAAGAATCATTTTAGACAATAAATATGGTGCGGTATAGACAATTATATGTACTATGCAAGGAGAATCTAAAAGAAGAAAGAAAGAAAACAAAGCAAAAGAAAACAAATCAAATCTCCTGGTTTGTTTCTTGTTGATTAGTGTTTAGTTAATGGCTAAATATGTAAAAGGTAACCTTTTAGTAAAATAAATCATGGGGAATCTTGTATTTTTTCTCCCCTTTGAATCATCTTTATAGTAAAAATCTAAAACTGGTTTTATAAGTTAATTTGAGCTATTTTAGTCAGTTATAGCAGCTTAAATCACTTCTCTGCTTAGTGTATTTGAAAAGAACTGTTTATCTAAAAAACAAACTGAGTGAGACTCGTACAAACCTTTAGGCCTCTGAGAATTTGGTAAATGAGAAACTGGACATGGTCGTCTGTCAGCTTCTGACACTTGACGATGTTGTTTAGATCTGCTCCCATCAGGTGTGTCACCAGATATCTGCAAAATGAAACTGATAATCAGATGTGGTCTTGTTTTCTATAAGTGCCTTAGTAGTTCATCTTTCTAAATGATTGTCTTTGGTTGTGTGCTGACTCAATGAAATACTTGGCAGTTCGTTTTTTAAAGCTTCTAAAAATCCCATCTGGCCATTTATCACCACAGGGAAGGAAGGTCAACGTGGGCATCACTTTCACTTACCTTTTCCTGACAGTTAAACCGCTGTTTGGAAGTGAAGCTCATTCAAGACATGTTCAGGAAGCCGTAATTTGTCCCCTCTTTTAATCCAACAATCGACTCACACAAACAATCTTTCTATATTTGTATTTTAGAGAAAGAGGAAATGACCCACAGTTGGAACGGCTATAAAATGACAATTAAAGAAAGAAGAAATTGGACTTTATTGATCTCACACTGGAGAAATTTAACCAATCCCCTTAGGGATTAGTGGGCTGCCATTGTGTGGCGCCCAGAGAGCAGTGTCGGGTTAAGGGTTTAGCTCAGGAACAAAGAGCGGAGGATGTGGGGATTGAACCTGGTACTTGCAACCTTCTCAGAGCACAAGTGCAATGCTCTAACCACTAGGCCAACACTCCCCCTTAATTGGTTTCATTTCTCTCTTACTTGTTGACAAACAAACCAGACGTGGTTCTTTTGCAGCGCCAAACTTTTGCTTTCAGTATAATTTTACTGCAAATAAGACCATAAAGGGGCTTTCACCTATCATGCTTAGCAGCCACGCATTACACCTGGTCATTGCAGCGAGCATACTTGAAGAAACGCTGGCCTACATTCCAGCTATTGTCACATAGATTGGATAATCGATTTTATAAATCAAGTAAATAACAAAGAACCAAAGCCAAAATGTGTAGGACCTCGTTCATAGCAACACAGACAGTCACTTTCTTCTATAAAGGAGATTATTACATTTTCTTCAAGACATTTTTCTGATAAGAAACTCTTTCAGGTACTCCTGTTTAGCTTTTTGAGCTGACGAAGCTAGTGCTAGCTCTTTAAGGTACATGCCAATAAAAATTAAGAAATCATGGACGACTTGTTTTTGTAAATAAACAAAAAAATATATTTTTCTTTTTCCAACCTATCCAAGGTAAAAAGGAAATCGTTCAGAAAAAAGCACTTTTATAAAACAAAACCTGAATTATGAAACATTTTACATGGCATATTCAAATAAGTTTTACTTTCTGAAATTATATTTTCATGATATTGTAAATTATTGTGATATGCCTGTTTATCACGAAACTTCATACCAAACAGAAACAAGCTTATCCGTTTGATCACAATAAAATAAATTTATAAACACTAAAGGTCCATCAAAATATGGAGCAGAGCTATTTTTTACTCTGCTCTGGTCCGACCAGGTCAAGATCCACAATTGCAATGATACCAAACAGGAAAAAGAATGTCGAGAAGATCCGGTTTGTCAAATTAAAATATAGTAACGATAAATTGGCAACTACAAATTGCAGAATAATTCTTATACATCCCTAAATCTAAGGCCGTTTATTTAAATGATTGGATGCAAACTATCGGTACTTCAACATACCAGGTAGCAGATTTCTCATCTCGATCAAAGTATTTATTTTACACAGAGAGGCTTAAAAGTTTAATCAAATCCAGTCATGACAACTTTCAAGAGCGAATCTCACAACTTCAAAACAAACTTTTTATCACAGGCATGGCTTGAGGGGTTGTTGGTTTTGGAGTTGGGGACCAACTTTGTTTTTTAAAAAACAATTTAGTATGATCCTAATTATCCATGTTACAAAAAACCCCAACAAAAAGAAAATATTTGGGCAGAAACTTCACATAATGCATCATATCAAATTAAGTGTTAATTTCCACATGTTTTGCTCCTATGAATTTAACAATAATATGGTGCATGCTCTCCTCGAGCTCAGAGGAAGTTGGAACAGAGCAAGAATGCGTAGACTGTAGGCTTTGCTCTGAGAGATTGGTCTGGAGCTCGGCAGAGCTGAGTGGGGCAGTTGCGGAGGATGCGGGATTTCAAGGTAACCATCCTTCAATGCCTACAGTTAAACAGCTCAACGTGGTTGAAGACCATTGAGTATTAATTGAGTAAACTCCTCTATGACAACTCTAAGTTGTAATCCATTCTAATCTCTAAAGAGCCTCTTAACAGAACACGAATAAAAAAAAAATTATAAAAAAATACTAACACCAGCAACCAGAAACAAAGCATCGAGGGAAGAATCAATCTACGCTATCAATTTCTTCATATTATCCTTTCTACTAGAAATGGAGAAAGAATAGCATTGCTATCACTGCCTCCAGTATAAAGGATGTTTACTCATACATCGATCAACTTAGCCTCCTCATCTAAACGCCCTCACAGCATTAGCTTCAGCTTCAGTCAAGACCAATGTTTATATTGTATGCCTAGTGCCTTTCGAGTTTTACCACTCTATGAATCAAAGTATTTTTTCCATTGTTTCACAGTGAATTACATTTTTTTCTTAATTATTTCCCCATTTCCCTGAGAGGTGCTAACTGGCTTAGCCCCATTATGCCACTTCCTTGTTTTACACACAATCACAGTATTATAAATATACACAATTTACTAACAAAAGAAAAAAAAAAAAGTATAAAACTCACAATGAGCCAGATGTTTTAAACGTTCAGAAAATCTTTGATTTCAACCAGACTGAGTTAATGGCAGATAAATTTAGAAAAAAGTGAAATAACCCAAAATTTAAAGCTGCACTTCAGGGGTTGACATTAAGGATTTTTACCTTCGGGCAAGTGGCTTTCACATTTCATTTGCCCAGAAACAATTTTTACTTGCCGAGTATAATGTTTGATAAATATAGTTCCTAATATAAATGTTTGTATATTTATCAATGAAACATGTTAGTTTTTTAAATGTTTATTTTGTAATACAGTAAGTTTACAGGTTCCTGGCGTGTATATGCATGCATCAGATAATGAACTCAAGCCTGCATTACCGTGTTAACATGCTTTTCAATCCTTCCTGCACATTCTTTTCAAACTAAACTTTGCTATAAACTGTTTTGTGCTCGGAATAATTTGTACTCTCCTGACAATAAAAATGACTTGCCCCGGGCGATCGGGCAATGGTTAACATCGANCTGCTATTTTCAATGACTACTTATTTTTGTCCAGCTTTAACATCGGTATCGATATCGGTTATCAGCTACATGAGTTTTAAAATATCGGCATATCGGCCAAAATCCCAATATCGTGCATCCCTAGAAATAACCCAAAATTTAAAGCTGCACTTCAGGGGCTGACATTAACAATTTTTACTTGCCCAGTATAATGTTTGATAAATATAGTTCCTAATATAAATTTTTGTATACATATCAATGAAACATGTTTGTTTTTTAAATGTTTATTTTGTAATTCAGTAAGTTTACAGGTTCCTGGCGTGTATATGCATGCGTCAGATAATGAACTCAAGCCTGCATTACCGTGTTAACATGCTTTTCAATCCTTCCTGCACATTTTCAAACTAAACTTTGCTTTAAACTGTTTTGTGCTCGGAATAATTTGTACTCTCCTGACAATAAAAACTACTTGCCCCGGGCGATCGGGTAATGGTTAACATCGAGCCCTGTACTTAGTGATTTTGGAGTAGTGCTCCCCCTAGAGGACTACACCCCACAGCTACAGCAGACTGTCACTCTCAGTCACTTAAGTGTATACATTTTTTAATTGCTCTCACAAGGTTATTCAACCTCTCCATATTTTTCAGCAGCAAACTAAAAATTTATCGTTCTAAAGTCACAGTAGTAACACCAACAGTATGTTATAATCTCAGTGCTTCCCACCACTAGTTGGAACTGAAGACGTCTCTTGGATGAGAGCTGAAACTTCTAGAAAAATTTACGTCCAGACAGTTACCTAAAGGGAAGTTTTTAAGCTTGAGCATGACCTGAATGACGGAGAATCTTCACAGAAGAGTCAACATCTGCATCAGTTTTGCATCCTTGTTTTTGTTCGTGGTCTCGCCACAAAGCGATCCCCTGGCCAAAGTTCCTTCTTGTTTATGAGCTGTCTCAGTGCATTTCACATTTTCTCTTCCTTTTCATTTTAGAAAAAGGTTTCTGTGGATTTTGATGCTGGCTCCAACATGTCACAAACCTCTAGAATCCAAAAGTGTTCTATGCTCACCTGTGGGCAGCACAGTGAGGGCCGTGTGACTATTGATGGCTATGGTTTCTGGCCACAGACAGTAGCGGGAGATGACCTATGCCTCATGAACACTTAGGTTACCATCACAAGGACTTGGAAGAGGATATATTAAGGCAAAATGTTTGACTTAGTACTCCTTTAACATCCTGAAATAAAAAGGGGGCACTACTTTTGTGATTTTTACTTTTTTACAGTTTTTGCTTCATTAAATTCTGACGCTGCACAGTAATGCTCAGTCTAAATCTTAAATCCTGAGCCTTTACCTCTTATTCATACCCAGAAATCACTCAGTGATTTGCATCCATCTTATTTTCTGCCAAACCATTTTCACTGCCTTCTCAAACGCTCGCCTAAAACCAAAGGTGAAGCACAGCCTAAATAGTTCGTTGAGGTTCTCCTCACATTTCCACAAATGTGCAACAAGCTGATGACGCAACAGCACGCATACAATTCAAGGACGCTCACTGAGGATTCAGAACACACACACACTACAAGCACACAGACGGCCAGATGGCTGTTACCATGGAGACTGGCTGTGATGTGCACAGCGCACGTGTGTTCAACCCTCTATCCACCTTGATACGTATGCCCCCCCACTCTGGGCTCACGCTAACTTAAGCATCTTTTGCAGCGTTTCCTTCAGCTGCTGAAAGGTGGAAGTGATTTTTGGGTTTGAACTCGATCAACAGTAGTGAGGATTGAGAGCAGGAAGAGAAACAGAAAAACAACAACAACAACCAAAGAGTCCAAGTGGGGACAAAGGCAGCAGACGGATAGAGGGGGGTGACAAAAACAAAACAAAAACAAACTTACACATCATTGAACTCCTCTAAGCTCGTTGCTGGGGTGAAAACATCTAAGAGGCCGATCACCTGCAGGGAATAATAAGTGAGGAGGTTAGTAATCATTTACAACTTTCATTAAACAATACATCTATGTACAGTCTATGTACAGTCAGCCCACATTAGTACATATAAGTTTTTAATCCGGGGAAAGCTTCAGATTATTACCCAGGTTGGAAAAGTTTGAGATTTATATTATTTCAACTGTTTTTTCTTAAATTGTTTCTTAAAGTATTTTGAGTACTAGAACCTTACAGAGACATTACCAGTAAAATGAACAAGTCATACTCTCAATGCATTTTAAAAACCACCAAACAAGACAGAAGCTGGCTTTTGACCTTTTTTTTTTTGGTGCGATTAAGGGCTATTAGCAAGTTGAAGAACAACACAGATCAGAACTGTTTAAAATATCTATACAAAATGATCTAGGACGAAAAACTACATTTACTCATTTCAATAAGTTTCAAATAAAAGGTGGAAACCATACAACAGGTCCAGCCAATAACACAGTTTTCCAAAAGGATGCTGGGGTGTAAACAGGAAGGGACACGGTCGTCCACTTTGTCTATGTCTACGGACTGTGTCTCAGTTCCCCAAAAATAAACCGTTTTATGTGTCTATATTAAACCGGTTTTAACTTTCCCACTTTTCTCATAGTTTTCCAGGAGGAACACCGATTGTTGCTGACTGACCAGTGTCATGGGAAGTTCCCACTCTTTCAGCCTTATCTCAGGCCTCCAGCAGAAACAGACCAAATACTGCAGGAACAGCATTTACAGTATTTATTTTTCAGCTCTTAGTAGTATTCTTTTATTAACTATTGTTCTTAGACATTTTTATATAATTTATTAAGACATTTCAAAAGTCCATCCTCAGTATTAATGTTTAGTTCTATAGGTTTCAGATGCTTTTGTTTCTTTTATGTTCATATTTTAAGGGATTCTGTTCTCTCCTCAGTGAGATAAATCTACCTTTCAGTATTGTTAAGCCCGAATTGACTGAACTCTTTTCGGGTCCCCTTTTAAAACATTTTTACACAAGTTTGCTGGAATATTGGCCAATTCCTCCAGTCGAGATTTTTAGGTGTGCTTTGCTCACAAAAATCTTTGTACTCTTTATAGTATTTTATTTGTCTGCAGTGAAAGATACGGGCAGATCATCTAAACATAAATTCATGTAAAATGAAAAACAAAAAAAGTCTTTTCACACAAAAAAACATGGCATGTGTTGTAGAAATTCACATTTTTACATCATCATTTCCTTTCCCATAGTTTTCAACATCTGGGTAAAAGGCAAAAGATTATCTATGTGCTCTGCATGAACTACATGGGCTTACACGTTAACTGTATTAACAACAGGAGGAAAACTCAAATTAAAAAAACATTTGCAAGAAAATAAAAACTAGAACTTGAAGACAAATGAAAACTGATTTAGTATGAATTTACTAAACTTATTAGAACTAAAATTAATTGTCTTTATCATAATGTATTAAGATGAGTCTAGTCTCCAGTTGCTCTTTTGTTTTGTTTTTGTCTCCTGTACCGCACCACACAAGCAGGTGGCAAGTACATTCAGTACAGTACAGTCCTTAAGTACATTCATACAGTCCTTACGTGGGATTTTATTTCTATCATTATTATTTTTCTTCTTTTCTATCCTGTCTTATCTATCTTCTTCTTTTCTAACCCTGTCTTGCCTCCAGTATGTACATTACATACAAGATTAAAACTATAGCTGAAACTGATAACTAAACTGAAAATCAGTATTTATAAGCTTGTTTGCTTAGTTCTTATTTTATTATTAATGCTCATAAATACAAAAAATAGAATATGAAATCAGAACTAAATAGAAATAAAGACTAATGAAAATGTCCAAACTATTTAAACCTTGTCATAAATCTCAAACTGACCTAAACATTTCCTTAGACTAAGCTTAACCAACAAAGCTATATTGACCCATTTATATCAGATGTAGGTCATGATAGTTTTTCCTGTTCTGAGCTCCTAATCATGCTAATGGGGGCATTACTGAGAATACAGTTTTCTACTTCCTTTGCGGTGAAGTGCACAAAAGTGAAAAAAAAAAAAACACCCCACCCATAGGGTGTCTCTGTGCCCAAATAGAATAAAGAAAGTTGCACTTCTGAACTTGCACAGGCTCTTTAAATCTCCCACAATCTTGTTGGCTGGTTTGTTAAACATCAGCCAACATGAATAAAAGAGTGTCATACTGCTGCTGCAGGAGGTATAAAAGCAAAGGTGAAAAAAAAAAAATGTGCAAAAAAACTCCACTTAAAACTCCCAATTGATTTGTTTCAGCAGGACCTGCTTATGTACACCATCATGCACGGGTGTATGCATACACATATGCAAGCATGTATACTGACAAAGAGAGCCGACCCTGCCCCCATCCCCAGGAGAAGAGACTCAGATGGATATGGTGCTGTGAAAACATTCGAGTGGCCCACCCACTCAGTACTCAAAATCGGAGCTCATTGGCTGAGCTGCAGCCACAACAAACAGCTGATTGGTCTGCCTTTACTTTCTAAAAATCAAAACCCGGGGAGTCTCCCGGCAACAGCGTCAGTAAAACACAGAATCCCTTCTTCTGTGTGTTTCAGTCTTAAGTAGGCATCAAAAAGCTTCACCCTTTTTATGCCTTTGCTTCCTGTAAACAGGAAGAAAGAGATGCACCCTCTCTTACATAAGCACTACACTTTTATTATGCCAGCAGACACATGTTTCTATACAATGTGGCTGCTATGCATTTGGTGCAATGATTACACTAATCCTAAATAATCCTCACTTCATGTAAAACCTGTTTTGCAGATAATGCACGGAGGTAGCTACAAGCTCTGCTGCTTTGTGCAACAACAATTTCTGAACTGCTCAACAAACACCCTGTGGCTGTTCGAGTAGTGAAATATGGGCGTGTGCAGAAAACAGGATCTAGATAAAAAGTCATGCTGAAAGCACAATGAATCACAGCTTTAAAAAGAGGTTTTAGTAAGAAGAGGTAGGTTCACATAAAGCATAATCCCCCCCCGCCCCTTAATGCAAAATGCTGCATTAACAAATACTCTAAAGCCACAAAAAACTGCCCTTTTTGATGCAGTTTCTGATATTTACTCATCACAACTTTCATATCCAGGTTGATAAAAACCTAATTTTAGTCATTTATTAATGTTTCGACCCTGCATATGTTGCAGTGGAGTTTAGTGCAACTGAAACTGTGCTTTGCATTTAAGGGCTGAAGCTGAACTGCTTTGGATTTTATTTAGAATAGCATAGAAAATCTTTTATTGTTCCACAATGGGGAAATTCTGTTGTTTACAGCAGCAAAAAGATTATAGAAAAAATAGTCACACAAATGTGGACTTTAGAAAAATGATTAAGAAAAAAAGATGAACTGTACTGCACTGTGAAGTGTTTTAACAATATAAAAGCTGTGCACCTGGAAAATAAAGAACCAATATCCAGCTATGGACATCAGAGATGTGCAAAATGACAGAAGCATGTTATTTAACAGACTAAGATAGAAACTGTGCAAAATCAGAATGAGTGTAACAACTTATTGACGTTGTTGGGAACAGTGGTGGTCATAAAGGCTTCCAGCTGCTGGACGGAAGGACCTGTGATCACGCTCCCTGGTGCATTTAAGGTGCAGCAGTCTGTCACTGAAGGAGCTTTCCAGCTCTGCAAAAGCTTCATGCATGGGGTGGGAGACATTATCCAACAGAGAGGTTATTTTAGTTAGGATCCTACTGTTTCCCACCTCATGCACTGTGTCCACATCATATGACTAAAGAATGCAAACTTCTTATTTGAAATGTTGAGGAGTTGCAAACCTTTTATAATGAAGCTTGTACCATTTCCTTACTATTCAATAACTTGTTGGTCTGTCAAATCAAATCACAGCTAAGTTTGTAGTTCATAAGGAAAACATGTCAAAGGGAAGTGAATATTTTTAAAAGCCGCTAAAACACTGTCAAAGTAAAACCATAGTTTTTTAGATGTTTTTTTATGTCACAGTGACACATTACGTTTTTCTCTCCATTACAGACCGAACACTTCCTTGACTGGTTTATCTTTAACCCCACATGTTAATGAAAAAAAGTGCAAAAGAATTATAATTAAAATAAAAAACATAGCTGAACGATCATAACTTTATAACACCAATTATTACACACAATACAACGTAAAAGCTTTTAAAACATCTCTAACTTCTTTAGGTTTTATTTCCAAAATGCTGAAAACTGATTAGTTTTTTTAGCCAATGGCTCTTTTTAATATTATATTTTTAAATAATCATGAAACAAAACCAAAAAAATCCCAAAACAACAATAATACATACAAAAAAAAAAAAACAATAAAAGATGGAATGCATGGGATTTATCCACCCAGTTACTATCACAGCTGCAAGTACACCAATAAAACTCTTGACCAATACATCAACTGATATATTTGACTTATATCAGCTCATATCACCAGCCATGCCTTGAGATCACTTGCAATGCATGCTGCCGCTCCCATCGTTTGCTTTCCATTGGTAATGTTTTCTTTTAATTTTCTATTAAATGTATTCGGGGGTTTTTTTGTTTAAAAAAAGATGTGCGTAAAATTTATATTTGTGACAATCTTCTCATAGAATTGAATGAAAATAAGGCACTATCAGCTTAAAGAATCAGCCTCCCAAAAGATGGCAGCACATATTGGTGACCGGTTAGACTGAGGTCAAAATGACCGGCGTCTGCCTTGAAAAATAAAATAAAATCCATCAATCTTTAACTGTTTGCTATGCAAATTTCTTCAGTAATTACATCCCCATGGCAGGAAACCATAGCCACCACAAACCGGATTTGAATTGTGTTTATTAAATTTGAAATTAAATAATTGGTTTTCAAATGAATTTCACTCAATTGAAGCTGAATTCCATGGTCTGAAAATGACTTAATTTGTTTGAAAATGTATTTTTTTAGACTGAAAATACCAATTTGTCTATTCTTTCATTTTACTCTGTTTGTTTGAGAATGACGTTTCTTTATGTCAGGCAACCAGTTCCTTAAGCCACAGAGTAATTGAACACAGATTCACAGATAGACCAGTGTAACTTGTTTTTAGTTACATTTTAAGCTGAAGCAGTATCAGACTTGTTAGATGCCATTAACTATGTCTATTGTCCTGTGTGAGGAGAGTCATAAAGAACAAACAAATCTGGAATAGCTGCCTGTAGCTATTACCTAAGCACGTACTGCAGGTGCAGTGTTGTTCTGTGGTTTCTAAATAATATATTTGATATGCAGGATGATTCTAGGGCTGGGTATTTTCATCAAAGTCCTGAATCAATTCGACTTTGATTCATACAGCTCGATTAATTTTGATTCCCTCTGTTTTTACAACAATTAAAGCGGTTCAACTGTGTTTCAAAAGTATTTTATTTTTTTCCTGTCACATTAAACACAAAGTGCAAACTTGTAAATCAGACAGTTTAAACTTCAGATGTGAACAAAACTGTCTCAAAAGTGTGAACTTGTTTGTGAAAAGTGAAGCCTCACTCGAGCAAGCAGACGTGACACAGCAGACATGCATGAGCTGCATTATCTCCACTGTACAAACCATATGTGCAGCGTTGTCTGTAACAACTACAGGGTGTTTGCTGGTCAGCCCCCATTTGTTAATGCCTTCAGACAACCTATTTGCTATATTTGCAGCTGTCTGGCATGAAGTTATCTTGAGAGCATCTTTCCTGCTCATTTGAATGTGAACGTCACATGCGTCACTATAAAACGAATCAATCTCATTGCCTAGACATCGATTTTGCAAAAATGTAAAGGAATCGATTCAAAATCGATTAAATAAATTTTTTTACCCAGCCCTAATGGATTCCATCTACGAAGCTCAAGTACCCTCCTCTGCTTCCGCTTAAACTGTAGAAAATTAATGATGCAATCTGTTATTTTGTGTTTGATTACTCTTAAAGAACCCGTTTTTAGAAAAGGAAACGGAATTTTCAACTGAAATTAAATTGAACGGAAATTAAGTCAAATGTAATTTTCATGACAACAAAATACATTATCAAAACAAATTCATTTATTTTCTAACTATCAATATCAGGTTTTAATTTCAGTTCAGCTCAATTTCAAAATAATGCATTTAATTTCAAATTAGACACATATTTAGTCCTTTCAGATCCTGTTTCTGATTGCACGGGTTTCTACTTATAGCATCCTAACACCTACACAAATTTCCAGGCTGTCTCACCTTTTCATGAACTACAGATATGTCTACCTGATACAGTACGTCTCTCTGGTTTTCTACTAAGGGTGTCCTGGTTCTATATCAGCTAAAAAAAATATCAGAAATTGTATGCCAACACCCCTGACATTTTTTCATAGAAGGTCTCCGCTTCTGTTAAAATCTTCTGTAACTAATTGGTTAACTTTACATGGGTTAGTCGTTTTCATAACTATTGTTGTTGACTTTTGTTCATGTTTCGAGTAATATTGCCTGATCAAGTCTTTTCTGACATTTCACGGTATAAAATAAGTAATAAAAGCTGGTATGATTGATGCTAATATTGTATCTGGCCATTATTGGTATCAACCAATTCTCAAAGCGGCAATATGGGTATCGGAAATGAAAACGTTGGATCAGGACACCCCTAGTTTCTACAAAGGAGGATGTTCATACTTATCTAGTCTCAAATTGGCAAAATTCTCACTCCTTAAAGTCATTTTCTGAATGTATAACAGAAATTTAAAGAAAACAGATAATGGATTTGGGCTTATAGAGCCAGGAGAACTCATCAAAGAAAGGGAAGAAATGATACAAAGGAGGATGCAGGGTAGGATGAAGGAATGGAGACTTTACTGAAACAATTCATCAGTTATTGAATAAATCCTAAACTAATTTAGTAATGGGTTAATCATTAACTGGAGTACAGAGACTAAAAAATATGTCTTTAGATGACAAAGCGACCCACTTAGAACATTAATTTAGTCAACATTCTTACGTTTAAGATTTAAAAAAAAATGTTTGTCAAAATGCTCTATGCAGAACTCCTGAAGTGGAAAATCTGAGTTTCACCAAATTTAATTTCGTAAAAAAAAAAAAAAAAACTTCTTTAAGGAACCTTTTGCTTATCAATTATTAAATGAAAAAAATAATCCGACAGATTAATCGATTTGCAAAATAATCATAAGTTTCAGCCCTAATGGAGACACAAGCAAAGATGAAAAAGAAAGAATGACAAATATTAAAGGCACAGGAAAGGAAATGTGCAAAATAAGAAAGTACAGAAGCAGAATGAATCAAGGTAGGGCAAGAAGGGCAGACCACAATAAGGACCCAGGAAGGAAAGACCCAAGGAGGCTAGGCTAGCAAGAAAGGAGGGAGGAAGTAAAAACAAAGGAAACATTTAGATAATGAAATTGAGTAAACAGTGTAGAAATTAAAATATTATTCTAAACTCCTTTGGTTCCCATAATTTCATTGAGACCTGGACAGCAGTTGATCTGTGAGACTTTCCCAGACGTGTGTCATGTGTCTTCAGACCAAAACCAAAGCAGTGGTTTGCGGGAGGGCAGCTGAAGCCACTGCTCTGAATAATACAGTGTTGCTTTGATACTAAAGGAGAGACAGGGAAGACGACATGTAACAGAAGGTGATGAGAGTGCATATAGTACTTGTTAGGTGACTCATGATGCATCAAGCAGCCCAGCGCTACATGCAGGGGGAATACCTCTCCTAGCTAGATGTGACACCTGCCACAGTTGGCCGGTTCAGTCTTGTATGATTGTGCTACCATGCACAGAAGAAGAAGCTTAGCGTACCTTCAGCTTTTACCAAGAAAAACTTGCTATATAAATAACCTGTAACCTGAGGAGTCATAACAAGTTTTCCTCCTTCCCCTCCCAAAACAGAAAAACAAACACAAAAAAACAGCTCTGCATGATCTCACACATGCATCAGCAGATATAAATCTGACCCAGTGGTTATTGGATGTAAAAGAAAAAAAAAAAAAAAGTCATGAGGTTTCTGTGGTGATCTTGTCCCTAAAACCCACATTTACAGACGAGACAGGAATCCCTGGCAGCGATGGGGGCTACACCGCAGCGGACTTACATTCTCGTGCTTCATGTGTTTGAGCAGCCGCAGCTCTCTGTACGTTCTCTTTGCGTGGATGATGGACTGGAAAGGCCTGGACAGCTTCTTCACCGCCACCTTCAGTTCTGTCTTCTCGTCGTATGCCGAGCTGTGAATGAGCGGAACATTTCAAACGTGAGACAGAGGAAGTCAATGCCATTAATGTAGGCAGCAAACAACGAAACCCATAAAAAAAACAAAAACGTTATGTTTCCCTTGCTTTAACCAACAATGAGATCCTTCACCTGACTGTGTAGGTGGTCACAACTCAACCGATAAAGCAAATAACTGCATAAAGCCGTGCTCTTGGTTTCTATTCCTTATTTTAAAAGCTGAAGTTGTCGAAGCTCAGCACCAGTGTCTACATGCAGATAAAATCCACCTGCGATTCCCTTATTATAAGGTAAACATTCACTACTTTATATTTACCCAGATTGCCTGTTTTAAATCCAACTTCAGAAATCTTAGGTCTTAAATCTTATCTTAAAACTTTGTTGTAGGAATTCCAAAAAAGAAAAGAAAAAAAAAAGAAAAGAAAAAAAAAAATCCATAGGACCTTGTTCCCAAGTTTGAAGACGTTTCACTTCCCATCCAAGAAGATTTTTTAAATTCAAAATGTCAAGAATAGCGTTGAGCTCCAGGTTTTATACAGTAGCCCAACAAAGCATTTGTTGTGGGAACTAAAAATCTCTTAAATAATATCTCATTTATCACAATTGCAACCTGCTTGGTGGGAATGTTTGTTAGCCCTTTGAACCAAGGTAGATTATCTTTTTACAAATAGTACGCATAAAAATATTAATTTATTGGAATTGAAAATATTACGTAAATACTGCTACTTGATGTTTTAGAGAGCTTATGCACAACTTCCTGCTCATGAAATGGTTGTTTGGAAGCATTTGCGGTGACAAGTATCATATTTTTTAAAATGTTCAAACCAAATATGACACACAACAGATTACCTTTATTTTAATAAGTCTTCATTTATTATGCTTCAACAACAAAAGCAGCTGATTTCTGAATAGCGATCCTCCTTTATTTATCCTTAAGATAAACCACTTCCCTTCCAAGGTCAATCACCTTATCTGGATATCTATAAAGTCGATTGCTCAACCAAGGGGGGGTGGTGGGATCTTTACTAAGAATGATGCTAACTAATTTGTTTTTGCTTGTTTTATTTGGGTCAAAAAGCTTTAGCTAGACTAGACAAAATACAATTGAGTAACTCTAAAAGGGGAACTTGAGTGACAGATAAGCAAAAATATAACCAAACCCAAAGTCAGAGCGGTGCCGATGTTTTCTGCACACCTTTTTCACCACTCAAAGTGTCGACATTTAAAGTTAGTCGGAATGCATCCTTAAACTGACTCCCAGCAGAGTTAACTGTCAACTCTGACCCTGTTTGCCATGCATCCATAGCAAGAACATTGAGATAAGCTTTTTCCAGCAAGTCATAGATAATCTCCCACACCCAATGTTGGAAACATGAGGAACAACCCTGTGTGACAGCAGAGAGGGAAAAGCAATCCTCGACAAAAAAGCACTAAATAGGAGGGGGGATAAAAAAAAAACTAAACAAGCACAATGCCATATTTGAAACTACTGCTAATCTACAAGGCAAACAAAAACGAGCCTGAGTACACATCATCCAATTAGCCTGTGATAAATGGAAGTGCAGTAAGAAATGGCTATAAACTGTGGGCTGTAAAAAGGAGCAACGCAGTGAGGCCAGCTTCATATGGAAGTGGAGAGGCAGGCCGCTGACTAACAGGCACGCTAAGTGAGCAAACACACAAATGTGTACTATAAATGACTAGTAGAGAGGTCTCCAATAAGTGCAGTGTCATCTTTCAAGGCCTTTTAGCTAGCCAGCCCTGGAGAAAATCTTTAAACCTGAGTCACACTGGTGTGTGAACGCAAAGTGATTATGGCATTTTGTGCAAACCTGCAGAAAAGTACAGATCACAATCTTTATCTCAGCCTACTTGGTAACATTGCACCTGAAGATTTACCCAGTCTCTGTTTAAAGAAAAAACTTCCCTCAGTGATGTGAACTGTTGCCCAAGGTCTTGATAAACATGTTTGTATTTTATCACATTTGATTTCATCAAAACGAAACAAAAACTTAATGTTATAGATGTTTTCCTTCTGCAGTGGAACAGATGATCGGTCATGTGTGGTAAATACTTTCTACGTCACAACTTTTTGGACAAATGTGTTTCCATCTACTCTTGTGCACATTTACTCTTTTTGGCTATATCTTTTTGGTAAAACATATGCATCCAAACAAAGGGCTGTACAATGTACATTTTATTTATCACCATCACAATGTTAGTGTACAAAGTATGCATGTCACAATTTTTTCCGTTAACTTCTTAGTGACAGCATGGATGCAGTTTGTTTCCCATTTCTGTTAGGATCTAGATGGATTACACTTTATCTCTGGTTCTGGTTTTTTTTTATAAGCCAAGAACGAATGATAAAAGTGCCACTAAATTATCTGTTTATTTATTACACTCTATACTGTTATCACCACATTAACTACTATCATTACAAACAGTGTTTTTTTAATATCTTAAAATACTGCCTAGACAGCCATTTAACATATTTTTAATTGTAAACTATTGTAAACCCTCCTGAAACAAAACATTTTGTTTTAAAATTACTTGACTCTAGATTATATGTGCTTATCTGCAACTTTTAGGACATTTAGGTTTTCCTTTTAATTGCATGCAACTAAATAAAATGTATATATTTTTTCTAAATTATTTTAGATGTAAAAAAGATTATATTAATTATTCTTTGCAAATATGAGAGAAAAATGTATGCATGATTAGGTAAAACTGAGAGAAAAATTAATGCATTATTAGATAAAACTGGCACATGCAGGTATACAGGCCGGTGTTTCATCCATTTTATAATTTTATTACAGGAACAAATAGCTCAATGTATTTGCACGGCAAGTCATGAGCTAATTTTGCTGTTGCAAGGTTCAAGTTATCAGATCTCTCTGTGCAGAACATCACAGAGTTCATGTCTTCATGTCCTCGGTGACGCGAAGTTATAATAATCATTCCATGTGAGAAGTTGACTGGAATGACAAATATGAGAGCTGTGGTGGAGTACCTAAAATTAGCAGCCAGGTTAAATCATGCTTGTCGGGACTTTTTTCTTTTATAGCAAACAGGACATGTAGTCAAAAACTGACATATTTGTCACGTGAAACACAGGAACAAGAAGAAAAAAAAGGGCAGAACCAGAAACATGGAAATACAAATACTAGTTTAATCTGAGAGAGAAATATTCAAAGACTTTAAGCATGCATTCTGCAATACTCTCTGCCCAGAAAGATTAAGAAGACAGTTATAAAGACTTGACCTTCCACTTACAAATAAAACATTGTTTATCCAGATCAAAAAGGACAGATTTGCAAAACAAGATAGTAAATATGCAATGCTCAAGTATATTTGCCTTTCGCTTCAGATGCAAAAGTTAAAGCCAAGCTATAGACCAAAATAACTACTGTGCAGAAGATGTTAGAATAAAAGACAGAAAATTACAGGTTTTTAAACCTAAGCTGAAAATCTAATGAGGTAAGATCCAAGTGAGTCAGCCAAACATGGAGCACAAAAACACTTGTGTAATTTCAACTATTTCACAAGCTTTTTGTGGGGCTGCATTATCTGTCTCCTAGCCTCGTCTTTGACAGAGCTGGAAAAAAAAAATGTTTCTTTTACGTGTACATCACCTCTGGGTGTGTGTTGGTTTCATGCATTTGCTGGTCTTAACTGAGAAAAGTAGATTTCTCTTCTTGATTAAAGGCATTCAAAACGATTATTTCTGCAAAGTAAGAAGCGACACAGAGGGTAGACTCTCTCTCCACACAAACCCTTCAAAAGTTTCTGAATCAGTGTGGATTAAAAGGCGTGGGGCTGTCTGTACGGTCTATGAGTGATAGAGAAACTGGCTTAATAGGGTTTCTTTTTAAATATTTCTGCGAGGAAGTTGAGCAATGTGGTGGCAGCAGACACAAAAAAGGTTTAACTGAGTGACAGATTACAAGGTGTACTGGAGGAGCCAATGGTATTTAAACATTCAGAGGCTAAAAATCATATAGATTAAGCGCCTGCAGAATTCAGCAGAAGATACTCTAGTACTTGAGGCCTATGGGCCAAATATGCAATCAGCTGCAAGTGTAACCTTTTTAAAGACTTGATAACTCTGAAGTTGCTCGATATAAAAACAACTTTGACACTCCTGCCCTAGGGGAACAGCTTAAATGCTGGTGTGAACTTAATACTTGGATGAGAGATTTATCATGAATTTATTTATTTTTTTTATTTACATATAAAGTAGCAGCAGAAGACAGCATAAATTAATGCAACTGGTTTTTGAAAAGATTTGTGAAAACTCTTCTACAGAAAAGTTACAAAGAGGATACTAGCCTGGAGAACAAAACACTTTTTTTATTGTTTCTTTTTCTCAAGTGCACTTGTTTTCTGGCAGTGCTTTGGAGGGTAGATTTTTGCACTGCCTTAGATGAGAAACAGCTTAAACTCAGATGACAATAAAGAGCTGAACATCAATTTAAGCAATACCACAGACTACAAATTGTACTTGAATCTGTACTTTGACAATACCATTCTGTAATATGCATGTATAGTGCTGCTTTAGAATTAGGCTGCTGGAGGAAATAGGGGCCAACTTTTCATCATTCTGCTTATTCCATCTCTTCTCTCCTATTCTGCTGTGTTTGTTAGTTCAACCATTGATTTTATGTTGACACTGATTTTTCTTGTCATAGTAGCTTTATCTGTGACACCATCCTGGAGAGAAATATAATCTGTTTGAATGTATTCTTTAAAGTTCCTTGAGATTGCATGTGTCTGGAATTAGCGCTATATGAATAAACTGAATTAAAATTAATCTAAAGCAAGTTTGAACAAACGTTTAGAAGGTTATGATGTGCAACAACTAACACTGACAAAATAACAGTTGGCACAGTAAATCATTAGAATACAAACTTTTATCTAACTCTGGATATTGAAAAAGAAAAAAAAAAAGACCTTTTTGTTACAGAATGATCCTCTTGTTAATGACAAAACTTTTTAATAAAATGGACACTTATAAATTGTTAGTCAATCACCAGGATCAATCCGTTTTAGAACAAGTAAAAGGAGGGCTAAAATATATCATAAACAGAGGTGACAAGTAACGAAGTACAAATACTTTGTTACTGTACTTAAGAACACCTTTTCGGTATCTATACTTTACTCCATTACTTATTTTTCTTACTACTTCTGACATTTTCACACAAGTATCTGTACTTTCTATTCTTTACATTTTTAAAACAAACGTTACTCATTACTCTTGGCTTTGGTTTTATGTTTATAAATATTTATTTTATTTGCGCCATCAAATGCAGATCATTGCTGCCATCCACATCTAGTGAAAACTAGTGTAAATGGATGAGTCATATATAACGCAAACACTCATTGGTTATCTAAAGGAAATTATCAGAAACAAGCAGGTGTTCTTCAAACTGCAAACATGAATTATCTATGTCATGCTACAATGTCAGATTCAGAAAAAGATGTTGAAATGTCTGAAAGGTCGGACACAGGCCAGAGCGTATCGGAAATGGAGATGGAGACCAACAAGACCTCCCCCATCCTTTTCAAAATAGTCAAAAAATTTAGCTTTCAATTCATATAGTGGCGTCTGGCTGTTTTTTTTTAAAGGTTACTTTATACTTTAAGTAGTTTTTGGAGCACATACTTTTTCACTTTTACTTGAGTAAAGAGGAACAAGTTGATACTTCAACTTTTACCAGAGTGATTTTAAACTGAAGTATCTATACTTCCACTTAAGTAACAAATGTGTGTACTTTTGACACCATTGATCAAAAAACACCTAAATGTGAAAGTCTCGTGAAATAAAAAAAAAATGTATCATGAAATACGTAAATGTAACATTTATAAATAAATGTACTCAAATATTAAATAAACCATTAACTTGTAACATGTCACAATTAAATAATGATTCATTAGATTATTAAATGTCATCTAAAAAAAATACATTTACTTAAAAACGAATGTGATAATATTACCTTATTTTTATAAATACAGAAATAAATACACAGTGAGGTAATTCTGTGTATTTTTTTTTTTTGGGTGGGTGAGTGGGGGGGGCAGTCTGTTGTATTGCTATTTACTGGGGTCACAGGCTGAAATATTTGGGAACTCCCACTATCTATTTTAAATCTGATCTGTGTGGACTGCGCCTTGGCCCTTATGATGCTGTTTGTTAATCATAACTTTATATACAAAGCCCTTTCAATCAAAGCTGTGTATGAGAAATGATGCACAAAAATGCAAATGCCTGTTATGTATATATATATATATATATATAAACTCAAGTTGTGGTTTTAACAAGAAGCTCATTAGATTTGAAAACTTTTGCAAAAGATTGCAAGTATATTCCTTTTATGTAAACATTAGTTATCTTCAGGTCTAAATATGGGCATGCACTTCCCTGGAAGTCCTCACAGGGGCTGCATGACATGCAGCTGGGGGTGTTAAAGTTTGGTCAAAGGCAGGAGAAACATTAGGGTTCCTCCTCATCTATAACATAGCTGAGTGGAGGGAGTCAGAGCTGAAGCCAACACCTAACCTCGGGACTGTGACTCATCCGTGTGTAACACAACGGGAGAAAGGGTGACATCATTCCAGAGTCATCATCATCCTCATCCTCCTCCTCCTCCTCGGATGGGTTCCTGTAGAGCACGGTGCAGTGGGGGGGCCTAGTTTCCGAAAAATCACGTGACCTTCTGGTACTCTGCAGGCTGCACCCAACTGGAAAATGCACGATGTCCAGGATTTGCAATCCATGATGAAAAGGAAAGGTGCAGGTACTTTAGGTGGAGGACTAAGAGCAGTGGTGCTATTTACAGACACAAGGAGAACAGATGCAATGAGGAGGCACCCCTTTCTCCATATGATACAAGTATGGGCATGTCAGCCAACCAGAGGAGGGACCAGTGCAAGTGCAAAACGAAAGCCGTCTGCAGCCACCAGCAGCTCGATTAACTTGAAAAACAAGCAAAAGTGGGCTTAGGAAAACAACAGCGAAAGTACACAGAAACATCAACATACATCGATGTGGAAGCAAACCACTACGAAAAAAGTGCACGACGTGAAGCTGTAAACAAAAGCCGCTTTTAGCACGGAAGCCCTCTGCAAGCTGGTAACTACACCCAGAAAATAGACAGATATCTGGGCCTCAGAAAGCCACTGGGTCGTTGTGCAATCGCGCGGTTTGCTTTCGAGAGGGCTCTCTGCAGGAGCAACTACTCACCACACGGATCCGTAAGCACCGGAGCCGACCGGAGACAGGTTCTTATAGCGCTGCGGGACTTCCCACACGGTTTTGTTGAGCTCCTGTCGATAGAAAACGGGTCTCTCCTTGTGCGACATTCCTGCGGATTGACCACCAGCAGCCCCGCGGTGACAAAACAAGCCCAGCGGAAACTTCTGCCCTCTTCTCCGCTCCTCCCTGCGCGAGGCTGACGTGCACTGCTGCTGCTCTCCCTGTCTAAACTCTAAAAATGAATCACAACTTCACTGACCCAGTGTGTGCAAAATAAAAATTAACAATAAAAAAAAAAAAGAAAGAAAAGTTGCGCAAAAGCAAAATTCCCTTCCTCTGTCTCAGAACGATCGGAAACAACTTGGCGTACAGAACGTTTCAGGTCAGGAAGCACTCTGTCTGGCTTTCGCTGGATTTTTCGCCTCTATTCTGAGCTGAGCGCGAGGAGCCCAGAACGCGCACGTCCAACCGTCAGTCGCGCTCACGGGAACGGGGACGATTTTCTCGCGAGAAATGACGCGATATTGAGAAATTAGGGGATATCCTCAGGGGCGGGAATCCCCCCTCTGTAAGGAGTTAAAGATGTGTACCTTATGACATCTTAAAAGAAAATAAACATGTCAATTATGAAAAAATCAGACCTTAAGTATGGATCAAAACTACAACAAATCTAGGCCACTAAACGGTTCTAATCAAAGATACAAAAAACACCCATTGTAAAAGTTTTAAACATTACAGAATGTAAAAAACATTCCTCAGATTATGAGTTGGTCACAAATCAGTGCATATCATAAAATTACATGCTGCACAAACAGGGGTCTGAAGCCACCAAAGTGGCTGCTATTGGACAGAATACCATAGCTCTTGATAATCCCTAACACTAAAAATAGGCCACGTATTGGTTTTAAATATAGCATAACAAATATCAGCCTCAGAAGCTTAAGCAGACTTTTAAATTAAAATTTGAAATCTATTTTACAAAAAGCGTACAAGAAATATGTCTTAAGGTCTATTTTTGTGTATTTTGTCTTTTTTTGTTCCTTCTTACCCATCAATTAATATCTCATAGAGGAAAATCTAAGCTTACTTTTCATAAAACATTTGTTTTTCCTGGTTTTAAAACCTAAAAATAAAATATTGGTTGTTTAAAATTGCAAGAGATTTCAATTTTTAACAAAAATAAGTTGTTTTTTCTTATTAAAAGTTCATGCAATATTTGTGCCTCTTACCAACAAAGAAAATGGCTCTTTGGATTTAAGAAGTTGTAGACCCTAATTGTAGACATTACATCACTTAGCCATTTGTATTTTTACAAACTGTCACAGTGTATTCAGTAAAAGGCCTATACCTCTCTCAGAATTACCGTTGCCCTTTTTACCATTAGCTTTGCCCTGGTAGTCATGTTCAATAACAAGTCTGACAGTCTTCTCAGAGTATCTGTATTTAGACTGTAGTTGCATTAGATTTACATGGTCTTATACATTTAATGTTACTTAAACCTATTTTTGTGTCAATGATTTACCATAATTTTTACTACTGCAGCAGAAAAATCTAACAGACCCATCTTTTTCCTGTCTTTAGTAGCCTAAAAGATCAAAGTCAATGTTTCCCTTACAGAGGTATGTATGGATCAATAATCTGTCCATTATAAATTGTAAGACAGTTCACCCAAAACACAAAAAAGAACATCTGTCAGACCAATGATAAAAATAAAATTTATATAATGACTAAGGTGTTTATTTTGTCTTTTGAGGTGAACTGATTTCGTTTACAGCAGTAGAAACATATCTGTAACAATACAGGGTAAAAGTCTCTGATGAACACAACTTAAATTGAAAAGGATCAGGAGTTATTTTATTAATAAACAAAATACTCATCACTCCGATAATGGTCAGAATCTCAGCGGTAAAACAAGTCGAATGACTTTTTTTCAAACGTTTCTTCAAGTATGAACAGGCCATTTTATTTATCCTCTTGAAATAAGGTAAAGGGTCAACTGGGAAAGATCCGAGACCTCCTTAAATCTTACGCACGTGTACCATTCTCTACGGTTTTGTTGAAAAACTTTGGACGACATCTTGGTTGTTTACCAGAAAGCATGAGGAACACTAAGAAAAATACATGAGGTGAAAGACAAAAGGTCAAATAAAGACATATTCTCCAAGAAGCAGCACTGCACAGAGCCCACCACCGTGCATAAAGGGGTAAGAACACCTAGATGGGAATTTCTGTGGGGTTTCCCCCCCACTTACCTTGGAGGTTTTAGGGGTTAGGATGAAAACAGGAAAACTGCGTGTTGTTTTGAGAAAAATGCTGACCACAATCGCTGTGAGCTATTTCGAAACAAGTAAACAATAAGAAGCATGAAGACACACTTATGTTGCATTAGGTCTCACTGGTACTGGAACTTATTGCATTACACTGTGTTTGTCAAAAACCACAACACCAAAGCTGTTAACATTTTTTAATCAAAACAGCATTGAATCTCAACAAAACAATGCAATTTAATCATACAAATCATGTCCCACAAGTCCAAATAACAGCAGACGGATAAAAGGGCAGGAGCATCACAAAACTTTGGCTTTGCTTTTATGTTTTCAGGCAAGTCGAATACATTTACTTAGGCATTACCTTCATTTGAAGATGTTAAGTGATGCTAAAATTAACTTTCGGATAAATTTTTATGGACATAGAGAAATTTAAAAGTGTGGGCATAATGGTGCAGGGGTTAAGTGCGCGACTCGTGCCGAGGCTTTTATTCCTCGATGCAGCTGTCATAAGTCTGAATCGAGCCACATGACCTTTGCCACACGTCTTCCTCTTCTCTTAAATCCCATTTCCTGTCTGCCTACTTTCAAAAACTGACAAAAATAAAGGACACCAGAGTCTAAAAATAATCTGTAAATAGAAATCTAAAAGTGTGGCAGGCATAAAGTCATTCCCCTTTACTTTAAACCCTCTAAATAAAATCCAGTAAAACCAGAGTCATCAGACGTAATTAGTAAAATGAATCTTGCTCCCTATGATTTAATTTTAGTAAAACTGCAGAAGTTTGGTGAAAGCCTAAGAGCGACCAACATGAATAAGAAAACTAACATTGCACCACACCTACTCCTCAGAGGTATAGTGGTGGCAGCATTGTGCTGTGGGGATTTTGCTAGGAGCTCCAGCTTTAAGTATTTCAGTTCTAGAAGATAAAGGACACTGAACCTCAAGAGGCCTGCTCCACACAGAGGGAAAAGTTCACCTTCTGACAGGACCTTAATGTCGCCACTGAAGCATATTCTTGAACTAGCCGACCAATCCTCTGGAAATTGCTTGAAACCCTGGAAAGTGAGACTTAAAGCCATGCGTGGCCAAAAGTTTACAAAGTAACTTAGATACATCAGATCTGATATCAAATTCAGAGAATTTTAGGTTTTGTCTTCCCCTCCCCCATCTGCTTTACAAATCTTCACCAGTCAGTTAAATGATATCCCATTCAATTCCAGTAAAGTACAATAAAGTTGTGGTTGTAACTAGACTAAAAATGAAATCATCCTAATTATTAGATTAGATAATGCAAAAAACTGTTGAGATCTGAACAAGTTGAGATGAGATGTCAAATAGCTCTACTCAGAAAATTGGCAAAATAAAAGAATTTTGTAAAATTAATAAAAGAAAATAGTGTAACCATATTTATATATTAGCTTTGTATATCTTTCCCTCCACCAGTACCAGGAAAGGCAACACAGAAACAGCATAACTAGGAGCAGGTTGAATGAATCATTTGATTTCTATTATTTATTTATTTTTCTTTGCTAGGTATAGCGTGGCAAAACTTGAATAGGACACAGGTAAAATGTAGCATGTACATTTATCCATTCAACCTCCCGTGTCCTTCAGTACAATAATAATAATAACCCAGTGAGTGTGTAAGTTAGAGAGAGCCATCAATATAACCCAACAATAGAATGGAATCAAGTGAACCTGTGGGCCTTCTCTGTAGATTCACAGTCCCCCATGTCTGTAGTGCACAAATATACAGGGAGGGTTTGAATTCCTAGTCACCAGAAGGGGGCAGCACTGGCTTAATATTTACAAGGGGTCCACATGCCCAGTGGGGTATCATCTGTCACTTAGGAGACCCCCAGAGTGAGGATTAACACAGGACCACAGAAATGAGTCCATTCCCAGCCTGCAGCCATCCAGTCCCTCCAGTCCAGGCTGATTATCATTTCAGGAAGATGACGTAAAAGGCCATGATCAAGCAGGAAATTGCCACAGGGATGTGAAGCCGTGTCCCAATTATTGCAGCTAAGAAGGAGATAAGAGAGGGAGAAGATTGCAGGTCAGCAACAGATACAACACAGGACATAAAGGCACAACAACTTAGAGGAATACATACTGTTAGCCCAAACTGATTGTTTAGCATTCTACTTAATAAGGAGGGTAAGGGTAGATTAGAATGTGTTTTTATTTGGATCGCTACCAGTTTATAATTACAATCACAACCGCACAGCAGAAACCAGATAAAGAAAAAAATAAATGCATACGTTTTTAATCCACCTCAGATTTATGAAAATTATTTCCATTCAATAAATACCAGATTGATCATGTATTTTCTGTTTTTCAGGACAGATTTCTTTTGGGGGAGTGGGGGGTGGGGGGACTGAACCCAACAATTATTCTATTTATAGACGAATCAGTTTCTTTTTCCATTAATCACTTAATCTACAATAGGGGACACCATCAATAAGTTAAAGTTTCAAAATAAACATTTGGATTATATAAAAACAAACGTTTATTGCAAATTTAAATGAAGCACAGAACCAAAAAAATGTATAGGTACAAATATATATACACATAAAGAAATTTAATCTTTAATAGTACAATTGTATTTTCCTGTTTCCAAATGTTTATAGTTTATATTTCTAGAGCTGTGTCCTAATTGCTGTTACAAGCAAGCTATTATTTCAGCAAATAGCATCTTTTAGAATCTCTGTCCCATTACTCTAGGTAATGATTCGATTGCCACACTAGTTGACGATTATTTTTATAATGGTAACATGTTTCAGACTTACTTTATTATTTTCTTAAAAGCCCAGATGATGGCATAGGGCTTTGTTAGCATCTCAACGTTTTCTGGCAAAATGATGAGACGCCTATGGATGTTATTTGAAGACAATGCCTCAACACCATGATTCCTTGTTAGATATTGTAGCAATATGTAACAAGGAATCATGTTTACATTTGATCACTACTGCATTTTATTGAATGGAAATGTTAATTTACTGACTGAAAAGCTGTACTAAACAAAATGTTGTTTTGTGTACACTCTGTGTATACAAAATGACAAAAGTTGTCTAAGTCTAAGACTCCTTATTGTCCCACACAGACCTGGGCTATAATCCAATATTAAGATAAATATATATATTCATAGAGTTGAGATGACATTTTTGATATTTCAACATACATTTAATATTTGTCACTGACTGACATTCCAGTGTTGTTATTAGGGGTGTAAATAATAATCGTTTTGTATCGATGCATCGATCCAACAGCCAACAATCCGATGCATCGATACGTCTGCAAGAGTTTTGATTCATGTTTTTTTTTTCCTCCTGTCTATTTTTATCCATTTGCTCCTGGACATAATTCTCCCTCCCGTGCTGCGGTGGCGCTAAACCTATTTTGCCCTCCTACCGTGCTTCCTGGTTATACTTTTACAGCAGTGTGTCGCAGTGAGCTTGACACAGACATTTTTGATCTATGCTCAATATTGAAGTGTGGTCTGTGCTACACACTGTGGGTCTAGATACTGCCGAGGGGGAGAGGAAGTGGGGGCGAGTTTAGTCCAAAGACGGAGGGACATGAGGGCCAAAAAGAGCGGAGATCCAGGTGGAAAAAGGGTCCCAGCGTTCTCGCGCACCTCGCTCTTCTAGCGGGTCAAATTTCATGAGTGGTTTTCCGCAATTTCGGTCATAAAAACAAAACAAGCCGGCCTCCTGTCCCGTCTGTGGAGGGGGTGAGGAGGTCTGGATCCGAGGTATTTCATTGCACTGATTTTGTGCAGTATTTTTTGATGCAAAGCCTTTCAGAATCTATAACTCAGGGGTAGTATTATTTTTCAGTGAATAAGGTTTTATTAGGAATAGGTGGAGTGCAACTTTTCTACTTCTGTTATTTGCTGTTGTTGTTTAACGATATTACAGCTTTCATTGATTTATTTCAAATTTGAAACATTGTTTAGCCTGCAAGGTGTAAAAAAAAAAAAATAAAAATAAAAAAATGAACCAATTAATCGAATCGAATCATGGTGTATTCTTGAGTATCGAAAATAATCGAATCATTGGGTCAGGAAATAGAAACTGAATCGAATCGCCATGATGGATGTGATTTAAACCCCTAGTTATGTAGTTTTATGTTTTTATTCATCTCGAAATTATCTCTTAAAAGTTGTTGGAATTCTTGGGAAGTATTTTTGAGGCTTTTAATGTTTATTTTTACATCGATAATAAAGTTATATACAACCAAAATTATGAAATAAATCGTGATATGTTTTGGCCATATTAAGGTCTAGTCCACATTGATCTTCCCAGACATTAAAACACCATGGGAACTTCTAGCTTTTATAATATCCAGGAGGGAGAAATAGATGTTTAATCTTTTATATGTGAAATGTGTGAATCACTCCAAGAAAAAGAGCAGAAGACCATGTAAAAATATGGATCTGAATCTGGTTGGAGTACCATTAACCATATTGAAACAAACCATGAACAAAAACCTAATAAAATTCCGCTGAGTGAGAAGGAGCATAATCCAAAAAGTAACGTAAGCAAGCAGATTACTCTTTGCAAAAACATTTTGAGACAAAAAAACCATTTCTGGAAGTCATGCCGAGTAGTGTTCGAGTGACGTTCGATCGGCTCACAATCATATTGGCGGAATTTTCATGAAAAAGTGTGTGATCAGTGATGACCAATCACAGCCTTTTGTTAAAGGCAATTCTACAAAATTATAAGGAAGCAGACAAGTGTCTTAATTCATCCATTTTCTGTCATGCTTTATCCCCAGCTGGAGTCGTGAGGGGTGCTGCTGCCTGTTTCCAGCTGTCTACGGGTGAGAGGTAGCGTACACCCTGGACAGGTTGCCAGTCCATCATAGGGCAACGCAGAGACAAACCACCATTCACACACACACACACCTAAGAAAAATTTTGACAAGACAAGTAATATAACAGTCATGTTTTTGGACTTTGGGAGGAGGCCGTAGTACCCGGAGAGAACCCACACCTGCACAGGGAGAACATATAAACTCCATGCATAAAGACCCTTAAACAGGAAAATACAAACAAACAAAAGCATTTGAGAAATCACATTTTACCTAAAACAAGAAATATATAGTTTACTTTTATAAAAAGACAAGGGTAAACAAATAGTTAATAAACTATAAACTGTCCAATCCATAGAGAAAGGCCACACCACAGCCCAAACTAAGCATAGTTATAAGTTTGAACAATGGATGGTATAATATTTACATAGTGTGTATGTAAACCTCTGGTTTCAACTACACAGGTTAAACCACTTTAAAAGGCAATAATATTCTGAATTAAAAGCATGCATATTGGGACATCGCATGCATTCCAGATATTCTCACTGTTCTTATTAGAATGTAATGTTTTGGAAAATAAATGAACTTTTAACCAATGAAGGTTAAAAGAAGTTTTCCCATTTGTGCTACTTGACAAGTTTCCTGATCATGACAAGGCACGCCACAAATCATGTTTTTTTTTTCTAATACATTTTCCAGTGTTTCTAAAGGTATAATCCTAACAATATGGGTATTTTTTTTATAACTGCAACAGTTTAAAGAGTTGTTGCACTGTTAGGGTATGTTACCTTTGTAGAAGACGCCCCACACTCCTTTCTTTTCTGACAGCAACCAGCTGTTGAGCCGAGGCACCTTTTTGAGGTATGCACATGTGCAGATGAACAGCAGCCCAAACACAAGGATGCCGTCAAAGGAATACACTGCAGAGGAGGACAAACATTGTAAACATGACTAAAAATATATATCTAAATATATTTATATACTAATTTAAAGGGATACTGCTGTAAATTAGATTAGACCGATCAGAGGGATTTCAAAGGCAACATTCAATCACTTAAGGGTTATGCAGCCAAGGTCCAGCTGGATATCATATGCTAGTTAGTTAGCATAATAACTGTTGCAGACCACAAACATAAATTGTAAGTTATGCAGTAAACGCAGGAAGCTCGGTCCATCTGTAACTCTTGAAGAATAATCTGACAAATTCGTATCAGAGTAATTGGTGGGTTTATTTCAATCCTCATGAAAGACAGAAAGTAACACAGGGGGGGCCACGTCTACAACCAAGCTAGCCTTCACTAGCTCTTCTTCAAATCTAAACCAATTAGAAACTGTTCTCCTGCCGTCCACCCATCAGCTAGAGCAACATACTTACCATTGGTCATATCTGCAGTTTGGTCTACGGCGATGTTATATGAGTTTTTCCTTCTTAATAATTAACAAACCATCCTTTAGTTTAAGGAAAAGATCGCATCCTGCCCAAGCTCCTGGTATTTCCGTTTTCCTGGCTTGACAGTCTTCTTTACGTTGCACGTTTGTTGTTGACCGTTTGGCATTACCGCCACCTAAAGGACCTTCTTGATACTGCACCACCTCGCGTAAATCTGTTTTTAATAAGTTGTCATCCGTTTTATCAAACATATTCAATATTCACTTAAAGGTGAAAGTGCTAATATATAACTACGCCAAAAATTGTAAGTGTTTCAGAAAGATTTTTGTGTATATGTATGTTCTTTTTTTTATTAAGTGCACAATGCATTTTATGTATTTACTATATATGCAGCATTTATATATCTATCAGTCTATCATTCAGTTGAATACATTATTTATTTTCCTCGTTCTATTGTGCTAAAATCTTTAAATCTGTTTATTTTTATGTGTGTTTTGTCCATATTATTATTATTATTATATTGCACATATACATTTTGTTTTGTTTATTTACTTTCTTCCCATTGTTTATTAGTGTATATACATCCAGGTTATGGTTTTTCATTTATCCTTGTATTCTACTGTGTTTGTTAATTTGGTAGCCATTTCATGTTATGTGCAACAGAGTTTTATTTTACGTATTTATATGTCCATTGTAAAAGGTAATTTGACTGTGTAACAGTAAAAAATGCTTTACTAAAGTTTTTTTTTTTTGATAATTTAAGAAATATCTTTAAGGTTCAATGAGTTTGGGTTTTTTTATCTATATGATATCTCCTGTATAATGCCCACGACTAATTAAAAGTTTTATCTCAGGAACATTAACAGAAAAAAAATACTATTTACCAATAAAGCAAACTACTATGCAACAGTGGAATATTGTGACCTTTTAGAAATGAAGCCACAAATCAAATGCTAATTTGTGTAAAGTTTTTGACTTTATCCTCATCATTATCATGTCTTATTATGCTTAACTCTGAGTACACTGCTTCTACTGCAGCTAAAATCGACAGAAGTTTCCCCTGTAATTATCATAGGTGTAGAACAAAGGGTCATAAGTCATTTAACAAGATTTGACAGAGTGGCACACAGAAAGCTGCTCTGATCCACCTCACAAGGTCTGCAGCTTTCTGTGGGCAAACAGCAGAGAAAGCTTCTCCTGCATCACCCGCTTCTACAGTCTCTATTCCAAAGCTATGCATCGCTACCAAACACTGCAGGTAAGACTGCTTTATTGCTTTATTGCTGAGATTACTGGCTGGTATTTGATGATAAAACAAATAAATATAAAAAATAAAAACAGGATTTGTACAAGAATAAAAAATATATTTTAGAAGAGAGGAAAATATAAGAACAAACAAATGCAAAAAAAAAAAGTTTGTTCTTAAAGCATTTTGTGGGTTGAATTGCGACAAGATTTGTAGTAGTGTGCAGACTTAGTATAAAATCATTCTGTATTTCTTATTTGCAATGCATTTTTTTTCTTAAACAATGACAAAAAAAAATTAAATGAGAAGATATGTTTGTAACAAACATTATTCAACCTTGTGCTGGAATTTTTGTTTATTTATGTTTCTATTTATTGTTTTCTATTTAATTTTGTTTTAAGTTTAATTTGTTGTGCTCATCGTTTAGTTTGCAAAACTTAGACACAAGGATCCTAATTCACATTTCATGGCTCAGATATGGATAAGATGAAGAAGAAAAGAAAAACTTAATATTTCCATACTGCTGAACAAACATGATAACCAATTGATTTCTGTAGGGCTTTTCTCTGCTGTTGATCATATAAAAAATTCAAAAGCATCTTTCATATAAAGGAAAAATAAAAAACAAGTGTCTACTTAATCAGTCTACATGCTTGAAGGATTTAAGGTCTTTGAAGATTTTAGCATAAAGGATTTCACCCTGTTTCCAAACCAACATTGACGCTGATCTGTACTTTCCCCCCTTATATTTCAGGGAGCACAAAAAAGAAACAAAAGAAGTAAGTTCATATTTTGCCTTTAAATAGAGAAAAAGCCTCACTTGTTTATACATTTCACAACCTATCCCTGTCAAAAAAGCCACCTGATTTATGTTACATTCTGTGTCTCGCTGGGAGTAAATCTCTGACGCTGCATTTATCCGCATCAGACAGAGTGCAGTACTGGATGAGCCCGCCTCACCAGGTGACAGAAAATCAACAACAGGAGGAAGATGACCTCATCAAACCAAAGAAGCTGATAAATCCTATCCTGGCCTCCCTCCAACAGAGAGCTCTTCATCAGGAGCTGCTGTTCTGCCATAAACAGTAAGGAGGCAATTGTCTGTCCCTCTGTGATAGAAAAAAAAACAATCTACATCATTATAAATGATGATAGAATGAGAATCTACAATGATTTTAACACTTTTTTTGTTTTTTTCTTAAACAAAAAGCTTTCTTTTTTATGTTAATAGTGTGCAGTTATCTTTTTTAAACCAGGCTGTTTTAAATAAGGTAGCAGTAACTGTTCTGCATTTTATCTGCCCCTCTGTTTGTTACACTTAGAGATTTAGATTTTATCTTGTCATTTTGCATACAGAAGTGTAAACAAACAAACAAAAAAAATTTAAAGTGCATCCTTGATAAGGTAAGCTGCAGTGATAAAAAAACAAAAAACATTATGATCAAAAACAGTAATGTAAACATAGGACTGTATATTTACTGTTCTAACATTCAGGTTTTTTTTTTTATTATAACCCATTTTACATAAGATTCAGCAGTCTAATGGCAGAGTTTGTGTCACTGAATCCTCTTAGCCATACTCAGTCCAGCTGTCTTTGAGCTTTGAGCTGTGGTCATAGATAAGCACATATGTCCAGGTGGTATTTGACCTAGTCCAAGATCCACCTGAACATCCCTGCTTATCTCTTAACCGGAGCCAAGTGTTTCCTCCCCTGTTGTTGATTTTTTAAGATGGTGAAACGCTGCTCGTGTTTTTTAAGGTTTGACATCTAGTGATGATGATTTAAAGCATTTAGGCCAGCAGCTCCCTCTGCATTTTTTTTTTGGAATGCCTGGTAAAGACATATTGAAAGAAGGAAAATATTAATTATAATAACATCATTTCAAACTGAAGCTTTTAGACAGAGCATCCCATAGTGAGTACATTTAGAAAGGACCATAGAAATAATTTGAATCTGACAAAAGTAATATAAATTAAAATTGTATGAAATTGATCAAATGAAAAGCAGCCATAAATGTTTAACTATTCTTCAACATAATGATTTAAAAAATTAAACTCATTAAACAGACCTGGAGAAAAATGATGGGACTCCTAGAAAAACAAAAAATAATGTGACCAAATGGACGTGTGCCACTCAATACTGACACCTGCTGGACTTTAATATCCCTACATGCAGCCTATTTGACAGAATACACTGATTCCATGGCCTATGAGACTAAGACTCAACTCTATTTATCCCTTGGGATTACTCCTTCAGGGGAATGCTGGTTCCAGTAGCTTATATAGAGTACAAAGAGTTAAAGCAAAATGCTATAAAAAGCATGTATATAGTCCCAAAAAGCATAAGAAAAAGTGGTAATGTCTTGGAATAGGTTTCCTTTAGACATAAAAATATCTGCACAGTAGAGAGCTAAGGGAAGACTACACAGTAGTTGATTTAGATTATTGCATTTGCACTGTAGAAATGTACTGACCATATGAAAATGAAAGAGAAAATTAAACAGACTACTCAATAGTTGACTTGGATTATTGCACTTGTATTGCAGAAATGTACTTACCTTATAAATAACTACAAAAATGACACAGGCTACGCAGTAGTCTGCATGAGCTATTGCAAAGTGAGAGAGAAGAATATTGCACATGAGTGACAATAGGTAATGTTTTGCATAGGATGTCCAAGGATGGGATGGGGGTGCTGACCTTTCTCCCTCTTCCTTTCACCTCCTCTGTCCTCCAAGTGAGGAGTTGTATGTAATTTAAGTCATTCTGTATTTTATTGTAGAATTTCATATCTCTGTTTAAATTGAAAATATCCTTAATATTTTTGGATGCAGTCAATAAACAACGTGAACATGCATCATAACTTGAAAATGTAGGTGAACATGTGAATAAGGATTTTTGTGGATAGGATAGTTTTTAATGAAAATAGTAAGTACAGCTAATATAGTAAACTAAAAGTCAAAATCTAATTTAAATTCAGATAACTCGAGTTATAACTGAGTGCAACAGGATGACATAAACAAAAATATTAAAGCAAACATGAAATCAAAATGCTCTCATGCGGCTGAAGCCTTTCTTTTACCGTACCTGCTCCATATTCCCTGGTGAATTTGATGATGAACCTCAAAAGATCAGAGCTTATAAACACAGTTTAGAGCAACAATCAGTTTAAAACAGCTCCTATATTGGTCAAAAAACAAAAATATATATAGACAAAAATGTTAAAGGTAAATGCTATAAGACCATTAACCAAGTAGCTTGATGTTTCTGACTGAAAACTTAAAGATCCATGGGATTGTAGCCAACCCCCCAGGACATGGCCATGGGAGTAAACCTGATGACAAATCAAAGAGATCGAAAATCCAAATGGTAACAAAAGGGCCCAGAAAAAAAAAATTCTAAATAGATTAAAGGTGAACCTTAAGCTCAACGAACATCAATCCCAGCATCCTTTGTTGTTTGAGCCAAAGTGACCAAGTAGGACACCCTTGTTGGAAGCAATGTTGGGCTGCTCTGTTTCCCCTGGCACAGAGTGCCTTGAATCTTTGTAGGTTACAATGAAATTTCAAGTATATCAAGGGATTCTAGAAAGAAAGATGCTGCACAGTGTTAGAAAGCTTGGTCTCAAAGTCTTTCAACATTATATGAACCAAAACAGAGCCAGATAAGGAATGTTTATATTGCTGCTGCACAAGGAGAGTGAGGAAGATGATATGGTGTAAAATAAAATCTTTTAATTTATTCTCATTTGAACCGACCCAGTAAATTTTGCAGTGTTAAAGTAACACTTTAAGAGTGCATTTGGTCCCACTCGGAATTAGTGTTAAATTAGGACTCTACGTTGTGTATATTTTACTTCAGTTGTTGTAACTCTAAAAGATTCAAAGTACTTTGACACTGCATATTTAACACTGTGGAATTTGCAGAGCTCATATTGTATACTAATAGAGGAGGGCACTGTACGTATCATCCACACTGATTAATGAATTGCACTCAGGTAGAAAAACTTTGCAGCATTTCTGACTCATTCCAGAGACATGGCCGCCTGTTAACGTTCTGCTTGCTCTTAAGGGGGTTTCTGCCAAGAAAGAAATCCGAGTTGCATCGTGTCCTCGAAAACAAAGCCAGAGAGCAGCTGAGGAAGAGGGAGCAGGCTCTCCGACCTCGCTCCGACCTGGAGGTGAAACTGCAGAGGAGACGGCAGAAATTAGAACTGGTAAGCTCACAGACTCAAAAAAATAAAATGAAACTCTTCACCGATTCATTTTCTCTGGGAGTATGCAACCTTAAACAAACAGACACAAACTCTTCGATGTTTTCTGTTTCGCAGTATGAGCTGGAGGAGAAGAGGTGGAGGGCCGGGTTGAAGAATGTTCCCGAGTTTATACATGTGAGACAAACCCTGAGGCACGTTCCACATTCTTCCTAATGCCTACCAAAAAGAGCAATAAACATTCTGACTGTCACCGTGTTTGTCTCCATCTGCTAAAACCGTCACCAGTATTTACTGGAAACTGGTCTTCTCTTTTAAATGTGGTTTATTAAATTAATATTGCAGCTCTTACAGTGAGCTCTTTACTGTTGGCCTTTGGTTGTGTCATTTGAACTCTAAAGAGCAATTTGGTCCTTGTTTAAAAACTGTTAAACTACTACACAGGAAAAAATGCCCACAGAAACACAATCTTTGCTTACTGGGACCCCTAAATCCCCTCATATGACAAACATTTAACAACTGAGCAAAGATTCTGCAATAGGTTACACGTTGCTTTGAAAAAAACTGCAATACCGGGTCGCCTGCGACCCATTTTAAAGTGTTTACATCTAATAACTCAGAATGCATGAAAATTACACCAGTTCATTTTTTTTTTTTTTTTTTTACCAATATAGACATGTTAGAAAGCTCAGATTCTTCACAATTCAACCACCAAGTTCCTTTTATGGACACAGTGAGCACCTAAGCACCATTAACACAGATATAGCAGCATGTCAAAATGTAAACATGACAAAGCAGCCACAACAAGAAAGCATGTCTTTATTACTGCTGTGCAAAAAAGACCTATTATTTTCAAGGATAAAAAAACAATTTTGAGTCATATTTGAACTAATGCAGCTTGGGCTGAGTTTTACTCACCCAACTATAAGTTGTTAGCTTTCAAATAATGTATCACACATGTAATTTGGGCTTACAGTTTCTAAGTTATTTGCTTTTCCATTTGGGTATGCAAAATAGGTCAGAATTTCCCAAAATGAGATAGATGTTAAGAGGTTAAATTGCAAAACTACCAACTTTAAACTGTAGTTATCTTAGACTTAATTGTTTATTTTTAATTAAATGTTTACAGAATTCAACATTGCAATTAATGCATGAATAACAAACTGCCCTTATTACGCAGGGGCGCCCTGTAGGGGTCACGTCTGGACTCTTTGAGACACCGACTTAACTGCGTGACCACAACTATGTTCAGTTTAACTTGCTAATCACAGAGTCTAGAAACTCTCAGACCAATTAAATCAATTAATTATGTTGTCAGACAGAACCTGTCTGAAAACACGAAGCAGGCTAAAGTCTGTAAAAGAATAATTAGAAAGAACCACTGGAGCAGCAGTAAAGTTTCTCAGGGGTTTCAGGCCAATCTAATGGTGATAAACATGCAGCTAAAACATCCAACAACCCCCCCAAAAAAAACACAGAAAAAGCAGTCCCCCTCTTTAATCAGTAAAAATGTATTAAAAAAAAGTGAATTTTTGAGTTCCAAGCATGGACAGTTCTAGATGGGGACCAACAGGGGCCAGTACCCCTGTAGAACTGGTTCTGACCCTTGTACTGAAAACATGAAATATAGATGTAAGTTTATATCTCTCAAAATGGATTATATTGATTTGAACCAATTTGCAGATGGAATAAAAATATTTAAGTTTAAAAATATATATATTTTCTTATTTCAAGCATTTTATAGTATGTAATTTTAAGGGCCTAAAGCCTCCTTCCTTTAGGATATCATCTTATTTTCCTGCTAAAATCGATGGGAAAAAACACTGATTTTAAGAAATATTTACTAATTTAGATCAGTTTCTTATGAAGATATGCACTGAATATAAGAGACCACGACCGATTTTTCCCTTAAACCAATTTAATATTTCATTTCTAAAATTTACTGAGACGATCATTTATAAATTACAAGTTTATGGCTCACTTAAAGGTATAAATGAGGATCTTTTATTTCCAGGTAGATCATCTAAATAAGTGGTCCTCCTAATGGTCATTCTGGCGATATGCCCCATTATCTATCTTTTTCTGCACACGCGCACTTTCGGGCTTGTGCATGCTCTTGCACACGCATTTTTATTTTAAGTGGAGAGGGTGGGTCTTTAAAAGAAATCCCCCACAGTACCTTTAATAAGCTGAAAAACATGCTTGTTTTTTCGGTGTTATTCTTTCATCCTTTACCCTAATGTGGCTCTACCCTGTTCCATTTAGTGACAGTATTGCCTCCGGCCTTCAGGGGGACTAAAGTAAACACAGAAGTAAGAGATCAGATGCCCCCTGCTGGCTTAAAATGCAACAGTCCTGCAAAAAAACATTCAAGTAAAACAAGATCTCTCAGTTAAATCTGTTGTTGTAAAAGCTTTTCTAAAGAGCCTGTGTCTGATCATGGTTGTTTTAATACTAAAATACAGCTAATGAACTAAAACGTGCATTGCTGAAATAAAATCTACTTTAAAGGTAAATAGTTTATCAATATAACTGTATTTGATTTAAACCTAAAAAAAGATAGCATGCATTAAAGCACATTTCAGTTTCTTAAAAAGATGTAGGGTGAGTAATCACACGTGAAGCCTCATCAGAGCTGAATCTGCTTCCCATCAATGCTGGCATTAATCCACAAAAAAACAGTACCGGAGCCACACAAATGAGTTTGCACTTGATCTGTTTAATGCTTGTCTTTTTTTGAAGGAGAAAACATATAAAATCAGTTTCCGATGTGAAACCTGACAAATCTGGATGTTGCATCACACAGGCCGAAGCCGTTTTGGGAAATTCCCAAAGTTTTCTGACATTACAGACATTAAAAAACAAAAGAGAATTTGAGTCACATTAAAAAGACGGCTATCAACACAGCAAAGAAGAGAATATTAAAGGCAATTCAAACAAAAAAGAAAGGAAAAAAGTGCCAGGTTTGCTGCTAACAAATAGTCACAGGTAGCACAATAAATACCCTGACCCAAAAGTACCGAGATAAACAAAAACACCTGCTGGAGATCGTACTAATATTCTCACATTAGCTTAAGAAATAAAATAAAACTCATGTACCAACGTTAAGAAAAAAACAGTTTCTGTTCATCCAGTCCATTAAGATCAAAAATAACATCCACTGCACCAAACTGTGCACCTCCCGTGCTGTTTGCTGCAGAATAAGTTAAGAATAAATAAATAAATCCCAGAGAAATAGGGTTCACAAAACAAAAGGAACATGGCAGGGTAATCTCTGGGCTTTGCTGTATGACAACACTATTATTTTTAACTGACATTTTCAAAGCAGAAGGTTCAGCAGATGAAGAACAAAACAGTTTGGAGTCATCCAGGTGGTAAAAACTGGAGATTAAATTGCAAACAGCCTAAAAAAAAAAAGAAAAAAAAAAAGAACGGGACTGAAAAAAAATTTAACAACCTCTAACGTAGAAACTTTAGATCAATAAAGTTACTCATAGTTAAAAAAAAAAAAAAACATTAAAGCAGAGACAAAAAAAGGTCTAAATGTCAGCAGAATTATTTATCTTCTAATCAATCAAACATTAAAAAAAGTAACTGACAACCACACTTTTCCAAACGATCTTAGTGAAACTTTCCAAACTGAAAATTAGTATTGATTTTTGACTCTGAACAGGAGACTCCTTCCTCTAAAGAGCCTTTTCTGTTTTCCACAGCTTGGTGCCAGCTCATCACCACACTTAAAACATCTCATGTAGATCAAATGCTTAAAGCTGCATCTAAATTTCTATTAATTCAATCCTTTCTCCACGTCCGAACAAAAAAAAAAAAAGGGCATTAAAGTGCTGTACGTTATTAGAAAAGCAGGAAATTGTAATGTGTAAATGCTGTCATTAAATCGAACACTTTTGTTTTCTCCTATTTGCTGTAAAGATGACCCCACCAAGGGTGGTTATAGATAGGGGCCAGAGCCTCCCTACAACTGCTGCCTGTTGGCCCCTACACTGCAAAACATTTCTTAAACAAGTAGATTTCTCCTTAAGTTGAGCAGGTAGGTGAGACAATTTGGCAACAGAAAAAGATAATGTTTATTAAAAAAATGTCTAATTATTTTATAAGTGGAAAAAATATTAATTCCCTAGGCAGATAATCTTATTTACAAGCTCAAATTAAGGGCAAATAAACTTTTTAAAAGAAATGTTAATCTATTACGTCCAGTTTTGCAGGTTATTACTAAACCAATTTCTTATGATGACAGGCGCCAACAGAAAGAGGGTAACCGATTTGTCCTTTGGTCCAATTTCACATTGATTAGAAATCACTATCAGCTTTAAGCCCAAGCCTTCCTAAATAGTAGTTTTCATTTTCCCGATCAGGGCTCTGAAACCCTGGCGAAGTGGTGCACTCTTCCTGTTTTTCTTTAGTTTCACAGGCGACTAATTTTTCTGTTCTGTGACCCCATTAAAAACATGGGCCCAGTTAGATGGGATCAGTCCATCAGACCCATAAATTACTGGTAAAAAGAGTTTTAAGACCCAGTAACTAAGATTTTATAGCCCACTGCAATACTGGACACACTGAAACTACCCCTCTACTATAAATAGCTAGACAAATACGGCAGGTTGTTTGACAACTTAATTTACTTTTATGAAGAATTGCTTTTAACAAACTGATGAGAGGCTCATGTAGCTGTGTACTTTAGACTTTCAAATCAGTTATTATGGAATTTTTTTTTCCTATTAATCCTAAATGCTTCCCGATGCCCCAACCTGGTAAACAATAAGTGCCTCAACACACTAAATATTTTTTATAGGCACAACGTGGCCACAAACTATGCTGACGATGCAGGTCTTGATGCTCAAATGAGATTTCTTCTGCACGGTTGTTCAAACTCCTACTTAAATGAGGCTTTTTACAGCGTATGCTGAAAGCCGGTGTAGACGCCACACAGCAACGTAATGTTTATGGACAGAATAACAGGTATTCAAATCTCAAAGAGAAACGAAGATGGAGGCAAGAAAAAAAAAAAAAAAGTGCAGAGGTATTTGAGATGTGTTGCTGTGGAGCAGCGACTGCTGTGCAGGAGATGAGTCTATAAATGAGTGATTAGAGACTGGATGAAATGAAATGAGTTCAGACCACCGATGCTATTGCATACACATCCGATTTAGTGTCCCATATGGTACTGGCAGTTTAGATTTTTGGGGAAAAATATCGGAACTGGGATGTCTTGACTGATGTGAAAAATTCAGATATGTCGTATATGAGCAAATAAATATATATAAAAAAAACTGTGTGCAGTGTGAATGTTGCCAAAGTAACATCAAATGAACCAGGCAATGTTTTACAAAGGTCAACATGAATCAAATATTCTGAGAACAGTTAGAGATTACACACCACTAGCTGCTAAAACCTCTATAAGTTATTCATAAACGTGCCACAATGATTTTTATCACTGCTGCTGACCTGCACTTTAGAGAATGAAATAGTCTAGAGCTGTACTTAATGAAATTTCTTTTTGTTTACACTTGTGTGTACAAAATGACAAAATAGAATCTGTCTAAGTCTGTAGTGATGCTTATTCATCAACCAGTAGCATATTTAAGGAAGTTAAATACATGCCAGGTTGCACTCTGGGATCTTAAGATTAATAGCTAATATGGCTTTCCGTACTTTAAGGGGCACAAAGCCAAACAAGGGGAGCTTAGGTTATTCCAGCACTTTTCTTATTTTAATCTAACAGAGCAAATTTTCCAACATGTTTTTAACCATAATTATGCCATAAAACAAATAAAATGGAGATTTAAACATGTGGTTCCCAAAATGTTGCAGGTTTCTTTCCAAAGGTAACAGCTAGCTCCTGATTGGAGCACTTCCTTCGTCTCATTTAGCGAAAAGCTGGTGAGATGGCACCACTGTATGCTTTAGAGCAAGAGGTGCTGAGCACAAATAGAGCATCAGCTGAACACTGAATCCGGTTTGGTGGAAAGAAAAAGTGCACTATTCTCTTTCCACAGATACAACAATGGTTTTAAAAGTTTCAATGTTCCAATTTTTTTTTATGTTGGACATCAAATAATAGTTGCACAATCTTAAAGTTGTCCACACAGAAAAAAAAAAAAAAAGGTCCTCGCTTTGTAGTAAAATATTTCTAATAAGACATCTCAGTTCTAATTCGTGAAAAGGACAGAAACTATGGGATCCCATCTTTTCTTTGGCAGCACTGCGACGGCGGCACACTCCAGTCATAAATGTAGGACAACCGCAGCTTGACCTCCTCTTTGCAGAGCCTTCCGTCCCGCTGCAGAGTTTGGTGTTTCTCCAGCATGTCCTCCAAGCTCTGCTTGTGTGTCACCAGGTACTTGTTGTTGCAGCCTCGCGACTTGTACTCTGTGTCAAAGCGCGGGTCGTGCATCCGCCGAACATCCACCGGTGCCAGCCAGGCGCCCAGTGACACGTCCTCGCTTTGCCACGTCTTGAGGTAGCCTACGTTGAGATGCACGTAGCGCACCAGGTCCGCGGAGAGAACGTAGCCTCCACCCAAGGCGTAGGGCAGGTAGTAATCGCAGAGCTCCCACGAGCTTTCGCGCCACTTCCCAGCTGATTTCACCCGGCCTCTCCCGGAAAAGAAGCCCCAGTACAACCGGCTCGCCTCCTTCCCCTTTAGCTCCTCTTTAAGCAGATCCAAGCGAGCAAACGTATCATCATCAGCTTTGAAGACAAACTTAAAGTCAACGCTCTTGTCTAGCCAGGAGTACATGTGCAGCAGCTTTAGTGTCAAGTTCTCGTAGGAATCCCGAAGATCAGGCAGTAGAAGCAGATCTTTGTGGCGTCCTTGCTCTGTGTTCAGATTCTGAAGGTCTTCACTGGAAAGGCCGTGAGTCCCGACCACAAACATGGCGAGAACATCCGGATCCCGCTTGGAAAGCCAAGTGCTGCGGATGATGCTCCTCCGCTCTGTGTACTTGGGTCCTGTCGTGATGAGGACAACTAGAAACGCTGACAAGTCTTTAGAAGTGGAGGCAGGGCTCTGGTGATCTGAATGGAACTGCAGAGATTTAGTGTGGAGAGGGAAGCCCGGAGGGTCCAGGTGACCCTGCTTCAGGGTTTCTGATGTACATTTGGCCAAGAAGACAAGAACTACTGCAAAGCTGCATACAGTACCGATGACCAGAGCCGTCTTATGGCGACATATTAGACGGAAGAGATTCATTGTGCTGAATGTGGAAAGAAAAAGGCAAACATTTGTTATCGTTCACATAAGAAAAAATATCTCATACTATATTTTGCAAACAAGTTACTTAGTATATCTCATAACAACAAAGATGGCAGACAATGAAATGACTTTATGAAAAACAGTTGTAACTGATTCATCTAAAAGCTTAAATATTTGCTTATTTGTGTAGATAAATAATACTCCTTTCATTTTTCATGTCCAAATTCTGCAGTTTTAGACCCAAAATTCTCATAATGCTCTTTGCTTGTTTGTAAATTATGGAAACAAAAATTCACAATAAATAAGAGGTCAGGCTTTAATTAGGAATCAGGAAAGACAGCTGACCATTAAGGGCAGATTATACTTCTGCAACCGCACACATCAAATGTCGCTTGGGTCTGGCCATGAACCAGTTTTGCTGGTATGCTTCTGCACCGTCGGTCCAGAATTTCTAGGGACGCACAGCAGTTTCCTGCCAATGTGCAAAAGGGAGCCTATCGCGAGAACTTTGGTGGCGCCGACAGGAGTGTTTATCTTCCAAAACAACAATTGTGCGTCTGCAAGATATCACGGTTACGGAGATGGATCTACAGTTGCTAGACATTGAAGGGGAACAGGTTCTGTTAAAGGAGTTGGCAAAAAGACAAAGGAGGACGAGTAGGTTGTCCATCGTAGTTGTTCCTCGGTTTTAAATAATGGCGCATCCCGGCACCGAATCGAGAAGGATGACCACACAGACAGCTGGAAAAGCACAGCAAGAACCAATCGCAGCTGCTTTTTGTCTGCGCGGGTTTTTGACTGCCCGATGTGTGGTGAGGACTTTTTCCCCGTGCACGACAACGGTGTAGAACCTTACAGAGACAGATTTGACGGTTGCAGAGGCTATGCGTCAAAAGCATTGATTGGCCTTTATTAGGAGACATCTGGATGTGTGAATCTAGATGTTTGAGTACACAAGTGAATAAACATGAGAAGGAATGGATGAACTGAGGGATGATAGGAGCAATAAATGGATAGATGTATAAATAGATAAAAGAAATTAATTGTTTGGATTAGGGATGCAAACAAATAATCAACAAACAAATTTGCCTATTAATGGATAATAAATGGTTAAATTCAATGGTTAATGGTTAAATTAAATGTGTTCTATCCGAGTTATTATTATTCAGTCCACTAGAGGGCGCTGCTGTTCATTCTTAAACAAAGGCTCGCTTGTATTTGCAAGAGAAGTAAAGCCAGATAGGAGGCAGGAGGCATGCTGGAGCAGAAACATCATAAAGGATTTCCTTTACATGATGCAGAATCAACTCTATGCAGTTTAATTTCTAAATATAAACACTCAACAAACTTAATTTAAACTTAAACAGCGCGTACTCAGACACGTTTAAAGGCGCTGCTAGGAGCACGAAATCTCTCCAAGCATGAGTGCATGTTAAAAGTTCTGTCCTCTCCACCTAAAAAAAAAAAAATGCTTGTGCAAGAGCGTGCACTTTCTCGTCGTGCACGCCCTGTTTAGAATGTGCTTATCCCATAGCTAATACAAGCTTACTGTGTCCACATACAGCGGGGACTTAATAGCAAACTCTGTTAACTTATCACTCGGACAGATGATCACTGTGTTTTGCTCTGTTGGTCACATAACTCCTCCTCTACAGCGCCATCTTTGTTATTAGTTTCCGTGGGCGGGCAGCGACAACGGGCCACTGTGATGGCAAATCCCATAATGCTTTGCAAGGAGAGCTCTATGTGCAAAGCATTCCAGGATATATCTACCTCTTCTGAGGCCTTTCTTTTCTTGTCATACAATTTGTAGACACTTTTTCCTCTTACGACCCTCGGCCATTTTCAAACAACCGCGGTGAGATGACTGTCTAAAAACATAGTTCACCACACATATGTGGCTGAAAGTGCACAAAAAATGGCTAACTGGGGACGAGGACATTGGACCGTTTTACGTAAACATATCACCAGAATGATTGGCAATTAGAAGGACCACTCATTTAGATGATACACCCGGGACTAAACGATTGTCCTCTATACCTTTAAAGTAAAACGGTAAATATTCTGACAGTGTCAAATTGATATATCCCCTCTTTTAATGAAAGTTTTACACCCATGAAGGGTTTCACATATTTTGTTCATCTTCTGTTTTGTTATAAATAACCTAACAGTTTCCTACATTGTTTAAGTTTCTATGGATGTAAAGTTTAATAATGTGAGTTTAATAATGTGTTTAAATTCAGTAAGCATTTAATTCAACTGGAGCAATAAAATTGTTAAAAATACAAATATGCACTACTTTTTTTAAATAATTTAGCATATAAAATAGTTAGGCCCTTAAGTTAATGGAAAGATCCTCATCAAACAAGATATTATTTATGAATGACCGCTTATCAATTCATAGTAAGTTGACGGATTTATTAGATAATTAATTAATTGAATTTATTTCAAAATTAAATGTATAACATGGATGCATAAAAACCTCAGTTTATTTCAGTGTTAAATTCTGTTTTAAGTAACCGATTATAATTCAAAATTTATTCAGTTTAAACTGTCCAATAAACTGCCTGTAGTGGCTTTAAATGTCCAACAGGTGTCAGTATTCTGCAGGACAGTTTTAACGCAGGATCAATACAATTTGTGTCGAAACCCTTCAAGATGAATTGAAATTTAAGCTAATCTGTTCTTCTTCTTTGATAACGGTGCGGGTTAGCATGATGTCGCTGAAAAAGCATGCTTCTATATGTTGTCACACTTTTTATAAGGAGGATTTATTACCTTTGCTGGTTTAAGGGCTTCCTTAAATGATGCAGGCAGGTCAGCCACGAACAGCTAGCCGTGCACAGCTAGCGTTAGCTCCCCTGATAGAAGCATCTGCGCACTTTGTGGGCACTGGAAGCGGACAGCAGACACACACAGCCTGCTCATGGTGGCCTTATCAGGGGATGAGATCGGGCGCAATCAGAAGAAGTTATAAATAAAAATAGAACAGGTTTAGGTAATTCATTTTGAGGTCTGATAATGGGTTCATTATCAGCGCTGCAGTGGAAACCCAGTCAGTTTCTGGTGGTTCTGTAGCTCGAGCCTTGTAGAGGAGGAGCAAGCGGAAGCGGAAGTGACGCCCCCGGCGCGCGTTAGGAAAATAAAAGCAGACTTACTGGATCCATCAATTTTGGTCTCTTGCTGAACAATATAACGTGTAAACGCAAAAAAATACAGTTTAATTTATAAGGTAAAAAAAATGTATTAAATACAATCATTAACGAGAGAAACAGAAGGGAAGAAATAATAATCACCAGATTAAGAGTGGATCATACCTATTTAAATGACAATTTATATTTGATAGGGAGGAAAAATAATGAAAATGTGAAGGATGTGGAGGAAAAAGAAAATGTAGAAAACGTACTGATGAACTGTAAAACTTATAAACATGAAAGGGAGAAATTAAGAAGACTTTTTTGACTTTTAACACTTTATTCACAAAAGGCCAAATTGAAGTTCTCCTGTTTCAGACACTTCACATAAGATCTTCTTTAAAACCCCACAAGTGCACAAAATCCTCCATGTTCTAATTCTGTATTTTGCCAATGGAGACTTTAATGTTATCTTTATTACAAACCTACTCATTTTGTATGGCAAATTTCATATAAACAATTGTAAATGTTTCAAAACGTTCCCCAACTTCAGATGTTTATTGCAGGAAATTAAAGAGTACATGAAATCCCTTACACTTATTGATTCGAAACAAGGGATTACATCAGAGATGGCAAAAGTACTCACTTTCCGTACTTGAGTAAAAGTACAGATACTTGGGTTAAAAAATACTCTGGTAAAAGTGGAAGTACTGATTAAATTTCTTTACTCAAGTAAAAGTAACAAAGTACAGGCTTGTAAATTTACTTAAAGTATAAAAGTAAAAGTAGAAA